TCCATGGATATAGACATGCAGCCAGGAATCGTGTTGCCTGACATTTATGTTTGCCTGATTTCCACACCGGGGAAATAAAAGCAATATAGACCTAAACATAAAGCAAATTTGCTTGTGAACGCTTTATATAAATACAATATAGGTCGGTCTGAATCCGGGTGATCACTTATATCAGTGTTATATATAGCCTATCATCATATCGTCCAGCCATAAAACTTTATAGTTCAGTGTTTATTAAAAAACATCCAAAAATGCAGAATATGCAATGATAAATATTTAATTGATGAGTTGTTAATATATGGGTATGGTTTTCCAGCTAAATTCAGCATATTGACACAAAATGATGACTGCAAATCCAGCTTTCGCTGACTGGAGTCCAGTTGTTTCGATCCATTTGCTCCTCTTTCTATATCAGTCTGTAAAAATATACCTCATATCATATCATTTACTCGCCCTCATGCCATCCCTGATATATATATAAACATAGGAAGATTTTTAGGAAAACCAGAGTCCATAAAATGTCATTGGATATTGGTTTGACACAAATCAAAGCTATATATCATAGTAGTTAAAAATACACACCTACCTAAAAATCTTTGTGTTTATCTGACGAAATCGTCACAGACCTTGGAGATGTCATGAGGGCGAGTAAACAATGAGAGAATTTAAATGTTTGGGTGAAATATCCCTTTAATGCTGTAAGACTATTTCAAGGACATGAAGCGGAAGTATTTTGTTACCAGTTTATTATATTGGTACAAAATTCACGAGTGTTGCACAGATTTGATGGCACTTTTGCATTCGCATTAATTATTGCTCATTGTGTTTCCTGATGGAAAGCATTCATTGATGAGCGTTTTCAACAGCGCTGATTTATTTGATTTGAGAGTGTTTTGTTTCTCAACAGGCTTGTGACATTACTGGAGGCTTGTATCTCCGAATCCCTCAAAAGATTGCTCTGGCACAGTATTTGTTGGTGAGATATTTGCACATCATATCGTAATGTTCTCATTGTCTCGTGTTTTTACCTGGCGTGAATGTAATTTATTCCAGCTGTATTTTCAGCATCATTACTCCAGTCTTCAATGTCACATGATCCTTCAGAAATCACTCGATTATTATCAGTGTTTTATTTTTAATTGAGGGAGACCACATTAACATTCACAGCTCGTGTTTACACTCTGAATACTGTAATCTGGTAATATGGCCTCTGATATCAAGATGTGTCACAAGAAACAGATCTTTGGAAAAATGTTTTATTAACTTGAACTTAGTGACCTTAAAATATATCAAAATATCCTTTACAGCAAGGTTATCATCCATTATATCGCAGCAGGATATTTCTTTTTTTAATTTCTTTTTTTACTTTATTTATTTGACAGGGACAATGCAAACAAACATGGTGTCTAAACAAAGCTTGTTACTGAAGTGCTGCATATAAAGTTTATAGCAAATGCTAATTTTCAACTCCTATCCCTGGTTGGGCTTTTATACACAATAAAATTTACATCACTACTTCAATTTAACCCTAAAACCTAAAAATGTGGGAAAAATAGTTTTGATTTATTTGTAAAAAATTCTTCCCTTGATCTGAGCGGTACAAGACTTGGCTACTTTTCCTAAGTTTGCCTCCTGAACACACACACTTTTTTTTTTAGTCAATTCTACAAAAACTCCTTAATCTTGTATTTGGGTCAAAAATGGGCACCCATAGAAATGAATGGGAAAAACTGTAATTTAGAGCATTCTAAAATAAGACAGCAAACTCACTTCATCTTTAGGTTTTAGCTCTAAGAACTCATCGGAATGATATTTTAATGTAGTTAAAAAAATGTAAAAAATAAAACATAAAAAGAAGCATAATTTACATAGAAAATATGGTACTTTTTGAAGTAAATAAATTCAAAAATACCCCCAAAATAAAAAAAAACACCATAAATAGATAGACAAAACTTTATCGAAGACAGTGATATAACATTTATAATAAATAAAAATTAGGATCACACCTGAGTCCTCTGTGCCCACATTTGTCCACAATTACAGGATCAAGGGCTATAAAGTGAATACGGTTTGAGGGTTAAAAAATATAATCCTGCATATCAAATACAACTGCATATCATACACACTTTTGGTTTGTTTTTAACCAGTTTTTAAGCCTGGAATTAAACACTTTAAAGGGTTAGTTCACCCAAAAATGAAAATGATGTCATTAATGACTCTCCCTCATGTCGTCCCAAGCCCGTCAGACCTCCGTTCATCTTCACAACAGAGTTTAAAATATTTTAGATTTAGTCCGAGAGCTTCATTGTAAATGTGTGTACGGTATACTGTCCTTGCCCAGAAAGTTAATAAAGACATCATCAAAGTAGTACATGTGACATCAGTGGGTTAGTTACAATGTTTTGAAGCATCGAAAACACATTTTAGTCCAAAAATAACAAAAACTACGACCAGACACACGTTAGCAGCGTCACTGAACGGGGATCCACAACACAATGCTAAATAAAGTCGTAGTTTTTTTTTGTTATTTTTGGACCAAAATGTATTTTCGATGCTTCAAAACATTGTAACTAACCCACTGATGTTACATGGACTACTTTGATGATGTCTTTATTAACTTTCTGGGCAAGGACAGTATACCGTACACACATTTACAATGAAGCTCTCAGACTAAATCTAAAATATCTTAAACTGTGTTGTGAAGATGAACGGAGGTTCGGGACGACATGAGGGAGAGTCATTAATGACATCACTTTCATTTTTGGGTGAACTAACCCTTTAAGATTTAGTGTGTATGTGAGCGGTCTCATGCTTGTGTTGTGTGTGTGTGTGTGTGTGTGTGTGTCAGTGGGTGTTTCTGCCAGACGCAGACCAGCGCTCTCAGCTGTTACTGCCTCCTCCGGTGCACGTGGACTACAGGGCCGCTTGCTTCTGCCACCGAAACCTCATTGAAATCGGCTACGTCTGTTCAGTGTGCCTGTCAAGTACGTTCTCAATCTCATCGACACTTTATTGCTTATTCATTTGAAGTCATTGGTGGTTTCAGACTAGAGACATTTTGGTCAAACCCGATAATTCTTTATATTTGAAATCCGATAACCAATATATTGGCTGATAAATCTAAATCCAAATGTTTTATATAATTTTTGTGAGCCTGATTATAAAAACAAAAGCCATGTCCCAAGCACATAATTATGTTGTTCTCTGCATATGTTGCACTTTACTGATTTCAATCATATTTCAAGCAATCATGTTGAACTGTGCGCATCTGAAGTGTCTCAGCTGAAGGAAATAATACATTATTTATCGACTTTAATGTATTGGCCGAATTTTCTTATTGGGCCGATAACTTTAAAAATGAACATACAGGTGAAACTTGAAAAAATTGAATATCATGCAAAAGTTCATTTATTTCAGTAATTCAATATACAAAAGGTGAAACTAATATATTATATAGACTCATTACATGTAAAGTGAGATATTTCAAGCCTTTATGTGTTATAATTTTGATGATTATGGCTTACAGCTTATAAAACCTTTTCACAATATTGAAATTTTGACTTTGGGGTTTTCATAAGCTGTTAGCCATAATCATCAAAATTATAACAAATTAAGGCTTGAAATATCTCACTTTGCATGTAATGAGTCTATATAATACATTAGTTTCGCCTGTATATTGTCCGATATGGTGGCGATGTATAGTGCATCTCTATTTCACACGTGTTGAGCAATTATTACAATTTAAAACAAATGTTTCCTATTTGAATATCATTTAAAATTGAATTTATTCCTGTGATCAAAGCTGAATTTTCAGCATCATTACTCCAGTCTTAATATCATTATCAACGTTTTATTTTTGTAGAAACTGTGCACTGAAATGGAAGTCTTCGATTGAGGGAGATCACATTAATATTCACAGCTCATGTTTACAGTCTGAACACGGTATTTTATATCAAGACGTGTCACTTTATACTGTGAACACAAGAAATAGACCTTTGGAAAATGTGTTTATTAACTTGAACTTAGTGTGATAAAAATATTTTCCCCCCTTTGTCTTTTTACTGACCTTAAAATATATCCAAAGATCCGGGAACACTTTATTTTACAGTGTCCTTGTTACATATATTTACCATAGTAACTAACCCTAAACCAAACCCTAATCCTACCCTAACCCACATGTAGTTGCTTAAAGCTACACTGTGTAACTCTTTTAGTTTATTCTTAGCTAAAAACACTTAGTTCTTTCAAAAATATATGTGCTCATTAATGTATATTTACTTTGTTCAAGTAATAAAGTATTCTCGTGAGTGTATAATATGCCATTGAAAATACATACGGGTGTTGGTCGCCATGTTGCCCCTCCATCTTGAAAGTACATTAGCCAAAGAGGGACATACCAGTTAATTCAAGTTAACGTTTGAGTTAACACTCATGGACGAGGTCGAACTGGAATCCATGTTAATCTTGGACTACGTTGGCCACCGTAGGAGATAAAATGAAATCGGAATTGAGGGAACAGAAACTAATATTCACTGGATGGTCATATACCTTTTCACCACTAGATGGGGCTAAACATCACAGTGTAGCTTTAATATTACTCAAAATATATATATATAATTACACTGTAGCAATAATAAAATAAAGTGTAACCAGGTTATCTTTTAACATGTTTTAACCTTGTTTTGCATCTTTTCCTCATCAGTATTCTGTAACTTCAGTCCGATCTGCACAACATGCGAGTGAGTCTTTGTGACATCATTTTAAATGTGTCATGTGGTTTCGGGCGACCTTTAACAAACGGTCTTGTGTGTGTTCTTCTGTTTATAGGACTGCTTTTAAAATGCCACTGCCTCAGGTGGCTAAAACCAAGAAGAAAAAAGTCAAAACTGCAAACTGATCACTTCCAGGTTACGAATGCGTGTTGTAATTGAAAAGCCCCCCGTTTGTATTTTGTTGAATGGCAAACTTTTTTAACTGTGTGATTTGAGCTTTAGGAGAAATTGAAGAAAAACAATTTATTTGAACATGTTTTGGTATTGAAGCTCACACAATAAATAAATGTTTTTTACAAAGTCTACTTATCAACGCGGCACATTCATATCTTTCACACACGTCAGAAATGAAGTGAAATCCACTTGATTCAAACACTTTTAAGGTATGTAGGTTTACTGAAATAAGTTAAGAATTAAAAACAACAACACAAGAAATATCCCACTTATAGAAGTTAGGTCTGGTTATAGGTTATAAAACATAACATATATACGTCACAGTACAGTTTCCTAACAACAATGCAGAACATCTTGACGCATTACGGATTGGCTTCCTGCTAAAGTGAGCCATTATTGGTCATGTGTTATTTCTGTGCCAACATCAACCAATCAACTTTATCTTTGTAAACATTGAGAAAACCACATTAGAGATGAAGATCTTCTGCATTCAGTTGGCTTCGGTCCCACGATGCCGTTTATAAATCACTGAAAAAATGTCTAATCTAGATCAGGAGAAAACACACACTCAATACGTTGCTTCTGGGATGCGTGTCATATTGAAGCTTGTTTCCGCCACGTAATAAAAAAATTAAAAACGTAATTGTGTGTTTATCTCTCAATTCCGGCCCTTTTGTTACAATCATGGAATTAAAAAGAAAATCGTGACTTTTGATAACTATTACTGACTTTTTTTCCCCAAGTTTATATAGCTCACAGATCATTGTTTTTTCCTCTTAAAAAGGAAATTTGCACAGTTTTGTATTTATTTTCTGGCAGAAACAAGTTTCCATAGCGTCAACATATACAGAAATCGAAAGTATAAATATGTAGAAAATAAAACACATTTAAAGGGGAATCCAAGATGTAGGTGTCTTTGCTTCCACAGTATTTTCAACTTTGATATTTTTAGGTCAAACCGTTCTTGTCTGTCAGTCATATAATGGAGGTCTATGGTCACCACCTCAAAGAGCATGCACAGAGAAGTCCAAATTAAACACGATTTAATGACTCGTAAATGTAAGTACACATTGATGGCCTGAGACACGAAACGAGCGGTTTGTGTGAGAAAACGAACATTATTTATATCATTTTTACCTCTTAACCACAGCCACAAAGTGCCCGCGCCCTCAGATCACTTGGACGTGGCTGTGGTTACAAGAGGTAAAAACGATATAAATACTGTTCGTTTTCTCACACAAATCGCTCGTTTCGTGTCTTAGACCATCAATGTGTACTTACATTTACGAGTCATTAAATCGTGTTTAATTTGGACTTCTCTGTGCATGCTCTTTGAGGTGGTGACCATAGACCTCCATTATATGACTGACAGACAAGAACGGTTTGACCTAAAAATATCAAAATTGAAAATACTGTGGAAACAAAGACACTTACATCTTGGATGCTCTTGAGGTAAGATAAAACATATCAAGAATTAATTTCAAAGTGAACTATCCCTTTAAGTACATTTATATTTATTCAAGCAGACACTTATTCATGAGGAATACAAACAAGCATTTGTGTAATGCACAAAAAAAATCTAATAATGCCAGAAATGTGTCTTTTCCCTGAGAAAGGCGTACCTTTGTTAAGAGATCGTCCTGTACCTTCGGGTCCTTCTCGAACTCCACTTCCGCATCTATAACCAGCACAGGCACCTTCGCCAGGTGCTCGAAATGAACCCTGTGTGAAGAAAGAAGAGCTCTAATAAAATACTGTTGTCTTTTACAGCTGATTTACAGAAGGATTGAACACTGTTGATCATTTGTTTCCTAAAATCTGGAGCCTATAAAGGGACATGGTGAGGGAAAAATCTTTATTTCAAACGTTTGTGTTCTTTGAGAGTGAACGCAAACTTTCTCAGGGAAAATATTGAAATATATGTATTTTTTCCCCATCACAAATGTCCCTTTAGGGTCTCCGTTCTGCTGTGAGCATGTAGAGTACGAGTACTGACTTAAGGAAGGGCGATAACCTCTTATTTTATTTTCGATACCGATACTTTAAAGGTCAGTATCGCCAATACCAATACGATACCTCTAAACTAACCTTTTACATTTTAAAATGTTTTAAATTATTGAGAGTAAAATGGATAATATTATATTTGAAAGACATTTTAACATTCAATACACCTTTTTCCTTATGGTTAAAATGTTTACTTGTAGTGATAACTATGGAAATCTACAAAATATGTCATGTCTAGTTGGACTACAGTCACTGTGACACCCATAACAAGTAAAAAATTAAAATTAGTTACAGGATAGAACTTAGTGAACTTTCAATATTCAATTTAATTGCACAAACTATGTAAGCTACAATTTCAATTAGTTTATTGTGAAATAACTCAAAACATATGATGTTTTTCTGTCTCTTATTAAGCATTGTTCAGAGCTGCGTTCGCCTAAAAGCAATGGTTTCTTATGATACTTTTGAAAATTGAAAATTTTTTTGCTCTGTTTTTCTGAATTAACGAGTTAATTTTTCATGAGAAATTTTTTCTTTGCTCTGTTTTTCTGAATTAATGAGTTATTTTTTCATGAGAAAAAAAAGTTTTTGCTCTGTTTTTCTGAATGAATGAGTTAATTTTTCATGAGAATTTTTTTTGCTGTTTTTCTGAATTAATGAGTTGATTTTTCATGAGAAAAAAAGTTTTTGCTCTGTTTTTCTGAATTAACGAGTTAATTTTTCATGGAATTTTTTTTGCTCTGTTTTTCTGAATTAATGAGTTATTTTTTCATGAGAAAAAAAAGTTTTTGCTCTGTTTTTCTGAATGAATGAGTTAATTTTTCATGAGAATTTTTTTTGCTGTTTTTCTGAATTAATGAGTTGATTTTTCATGAGAAAAAAGTTTTTGCTCTGTTTTTCTGAATTAACGAGTTAATTTTTCATGGAATTTTTTTTGCTCTGTTTTTCTGAATTAACTCGTTAATTCAGAAAAACAGAGCAAAAACTTTTTTTCTCACGAAAAATTAACTCATTAATTCAGAAAAACAGAGACAAATTTTTTTTTCTCATGAAAAATTAACTCATTAATTCAGAAAAACAGAGCAAAAAAAAATTTCCATGAAAAATTAACTCGTTAATTCAGAAAAACAGAGCAAAAACTTTTTTTCTCATGAAAAATTAACTCATTAATTCAGAAAAACAGAGCAAATTTTTTTTCTCAAGAAAAATTAACTCGTTAATTCAGAAAAACAGAGTAGATTTTTTTTCTTCAAGTGAATGCAATACGCCTCCGTATAATTCAATGCATATTGTACACATTACATTTCTTGTCAAATAAACAAAAAAACACTAGTATAGATTTTTTCCCCCTCAAAAAAAAAAAAAAAAAAAAATCAATACTACAGTGTTTTTTTCCCCTGTGTATTTTGTTTATTTGACAAGAAATTGAATGCATACAATCTGCATTGCATTGGATGAATAACCTAACTCACCTCGTGGTCTTGTGGAGGAGCCAGTCTTCGTGTCGCGTGTGCAGTTTCTGGAGGTAGTCGAGCTGAATTCCCTGTTCCTCCACTCGACCTCTTCTGCCTAGCCTCTCCATGCAGGTCTGCAGAACACAACGGTGAAGTTCAGCAACTTATAATTAATTCTAACAAGTCCATTAACTTCACATTCATTTTGAAGTCACATTTATCTTACAGACCTTTCAAGACATGTTTATGTAAGACAAATAAATGTTTCTGACATGTAAACTAAGCTTAATTTCTGACCAACAGGTGTTTTGATCATTGTTGTGTCTGAAAACTGAAAAATTAAAGGGATACTCCACTTTTTTTGGAAATAGGCTCATTTTACAACTCCCCCAGAGTTAAACAGTTGAGTTTTACCGTTTTCGAATCCATTCAGCCGATTTTCTGATATTTAGATGAATATCAGTAACCAGACAGTTTCTGGTCTCATTGACTTCCATAGTATATTTTTTTTCCTACTATGGAAGTCAATGAGACCAGAAACTGTCTGGTTACTGATATTCTTCTAAAAATAAGAAAATCGGCTGAATGGATTCGAAAACGGTAAAACTCTGGGTGAGTGGTAAAATGAGCCTATTTCCAAAAAAAGTGGAGTGTCCCTTTAAGCCTTCACAGATTGGAAGGAAACAAGTCCTCACAATCCCTCATCTGAATGCTTAAAAAAAAACAAAAGTATCCTTTGCTGACTATGTTACGACTAATAAATATGGTGTCAGATCATTTATGACCCTGAAATTAGTGTTAGAATCAGTGGACCTTTAATATTTGCCTTTTTCCCCCATTAACTGAAGAAATAATCCACTGGTTAAAAAGTACACGTATATAAATACTGTAATATTTGATACTTTGATCTTTTCACTCTTGACCTTTCTGTTAATGTGTTCCTCTCATTGCAATTAGCAATTTTTAAAAACAAAATACATTAATATTTGACTTTTTATCCAATTTACTGAAGAAATAATCCGCTGATTAACCAGTTAAATAAAATGTACATGTATAAGTGCAAATAATTCACAAAAGTATTAGTAAACAAGACCCAGGGTCCATAATAATTATCTTATGTTTACCGCGATATTGTTGAGCATTAAAAAGTAAACACTCAGTAATTAAAAAAAAATAAAATTGGAGATGCGTGTTTGGTTGCTCAAACGCTTGAGTTTGTTGAGCATTTAAAAGTGCAACATGTGACCCTGCATCACAAAACCAGTCAGAAGTTGCATTGGTGTATTTGTGGTAATTTTGATCCATACTACATTGTATGGCTCAAAATGATACATTTTTCTTTTATTTTTCTTGATTTTCCAATAGTTGTATATCAGCCAAATATTGCCCAATCCTATCAAAACCACACATCAATGGAAAGCTTATTTATTCAGCTTTCATGTGATGTATAAATCTCAATTTCAAAAAAATGACCCATGAGACTGGTTTTTTGGTCCACGGTCACATTTGGTTAGTTAATTATGAATGTGAACTCACTGACCAATCAGGCTTTAGGTTTCAGACACAGCCTATAGCACGACCTGAACACTGCATGGACCAATCAGCATCCATGATGAAACAATCGTAAAACCTGACAGCACTTCTCGTGTGCATGTTTGACCATCATCTTCATCATCATCATCATCACCGTGACCTGATGAAAGCAGTGCAGACCTGTGGAGATGCTCGGAGATATATGATGCCTTCCAGTTGAACTCGATGACCAAACTGCTCCACCAGAAACGAGTGCCAATCTTGATACACAGCCCACTCTGTTGAGTTTATACAGCCCAGCTCAAACATATTCAAAGCAAAGATGTACCTGAGAGAGGAGGATATACATGTAGCAGTGAAAATGAACATATTTAATCATAATCATAATATACTTTTGGCAAAGAATTGTGCTTAACTGTATTGAATGTGCATCAAATCTTAAAGTATATACTTTTAAAACCCGTACTTGCAGATAATATCATATTATCAATTACATAAAAGGCCACTTAAAGAGTTTAACACATTTAAGTGCACTTTGTAATCATGTCAAGTTAAAAGTACATTGTTTTAATAATGTTTTGATGTCAATTACATTTAAATTACAACTAAAGCACATGCGAAGTACTTGATTATTTAACTTTAGTTTTTTCATCAATATTGCATATTTTAAATGGACTAAATTGCAACTATACAAATGTGTAATTAGTATTACAAATATTTTAAATTCATGACACAAGGTTCAATAGATATGAGATGAAAGTATATTTTAGTTTACCATAAATGCTTGACAGTACACTCAGTAGTGCACTTAAACCATATTTAATATACAATCGTAAAAAAATACATAAGTGGCTCAAAAAACACTAAGTTCAGCATTTAACATACATTAAACTATAATACATTTATATTTAATTGCACTTAGTGTCCAAAAATTTTACATTCGAATAAAATCTTTTAAAGTATATTATTACCTTAAAAATAATTACTCTAAGATTCTAAATGGTCCTTTCTAGCATTTAATAACTATATGTTATAACTAATTAATTAATATTAATTTATTATTACCTTAAAAAATAATTACTCAAATGGTCCTTTTTAGCATTTAATAACAGGAACAATATTTTATTGTTATTAATATCTGACCATCAAAAGAAGTAAATGTAATTTCTGAAAAGTAGCCAGAAAGAAAATATAATTTTTTTTCGGACACTTTAATTTTAATTTTTTTCTAAATTACTTTTTTTTTTTTAAATTTTAAAAAAATTCTAAATAAAAAAAATATTTTTTATTTTTTTCTGACAAAATTATTTTTTTTTTCTTAAAAATTGCTAAGTTACAGTTGGCTTCCAAAATAACTTTGAAGTTAGGACAGCATTGGGGTTGCCCTAACGTTAAGACAGTTTTTAGCATTTTTTGTGGAGTTAGGATATTAATTTTTAACTGAGACTCTGAGTGAGAAGTGTGTGTCCATCACCTGTCACTGTAGACCGAGCGCTCGTACACGCGCACCGGCGAGCCCGAGGACTGACGTGATCCGGCAGACAGCGGCTGAAGATGCGAGCGCATGCGACTCATGCAGGAGAAGGTCTGGAACGTGTAGGACCAGCGCTTCGGATCATGATACATCATCTGTAACAGGTTACTGGTTGGCTGTGGAGGACAGTGTTCGGTCTGCTACACAGAAACAAGACAAAGCACACGTTGAACAGTCGTCCCAAAAGCTATTTGGATTCATTAGTGGAGCTGGAGCTACTATATGTAATGAATGAGTGATTATAATCAAGGTATTAATCAATATTTCTCCTTCTAAATATCAAATGAGTTGAATGACTTCTCTTGGCTTGGGAGATTTCTTTGTTATAGAAGTTACCAGTGTGATTATTGAAATGTGTTCTTGATATCTGAATAGTGCTTGCTCATTTAGCCCGGCTTCCAGAAATTAAGTGGTAAAACAAAGGGGTCAATGAAGCCAATAGTTTAACCTCCTGAGACCTGAGAGTTTGCCTGGTGTGCATTTTATAATTGTTCTTGCTATTTGGGATAAGTAGGACCTAAAAAGTATAATAACTAAAATTAGTTTTTGTACAGGAAGTAGTTTTTGCCTGAAATGATGTCATCATGCAAGGACAGAGCAGTGGGTCTATCTTAAGGCACTTTTACAAAAAAACTTTTGCTGATAATTTACTCACCCCCATGTCATCCATGATGTCCATGTCTTTCTTTCTTCAGTCGAAAAGAGATTAAGTTTTTTGATGAAAATATTCCAGGATTTTTCTCCATATAAATGGACTTCAATGGGGACCAAACGGTTCAAGGTTCAAATGAGAGTTTCAGTGCAGCTTCAAATTTCATTTTTTGATGAACGAGTTCAAACAGGAGAGTCACAAACGCGCATCACAGAACAGAGCAAGGCGAGCATTTGTGCTTATAAAACTTAAACTTTTTTATTTATTTTTTAAATGAGCGATGGTTTCGCTAGATAAGACCCTTATTCATCGTCTGGTGTCGTTTAAAGCCCTTTGAAGCTGCACTGAAACTGTCATTTGGTTCCCAATAAAGTCCATTATATGTTTAGTTTGAGCTCTCTCCGCAGAAGCTTGGGGTTTAAAGACCTAAAATTTCAACTTATATCAATATTTCATGTCTAATTATTTACTTACATAGCAAGTAGCCGTGTAATGAGCGGGATAATGTACATCCAGCCGGTGGTTCTCTCAAAATAACCTCCTTCAGGCTTATAAAGATCATCCAGTGGGGGTTATTTTGAGAGAACCACTGGCTGGATGTACATTATCCCTTACACATCATTCTTTGCTTTATTCATGTGAATCCTAATCTTGTATCAAAATATATTTCCCTCCCTCTTGCAGTGACATCTCCTCTCTTATGAAGCTCAAACAAAACTGCTTGATATGTGAGAATGAACCTCATTGGTTCTTGCTGAAGATCAAACGTGATGCGTAACAAGAATGAACCTCATTGGTTCTCAGTCACATCAAGCGAACATGAGCTTCCGTTTACCATTGATATGCAAGTTAATGAATGTTGTTTATATGTAAAAAAAAAAAAAAAAAAGCCTAAATTAAATCTATTCATCATGTAAAGTGATCATGTCTCCTCAGAAAATTTGGACTAAACCACTCAATTCATATGGATTAGTTTTATGATCTCTTTATGAACTTTTTGAAGAGTCAAAGTGGTAGTTGCGTAGCTGTCAATGGAGGGACCGAAATCTCTCAGATTTCATCAAAAAGATATTTTATGTTCTGAAGATACGACAGTCTTACGGGTTTGTAACGACATGAGGCCGAGTAATTAATGACGTAATTTCATTTTTGGGGTGTACTGTCACTTTAAATTTATGTCTATGACTAGTCAACACTGACCTGGTCGGTTTGGTCCACATTTTGCCATTTGCTGATGGGCTCTGCTATCACTTCCCAGTCCTGTTCTGTTTTCTGCAACAGCCTGGCAAATGTTGACTTTCCGACCGCTTGAGAGATTCAGAAGACACACAAGAGGCTTTGTTGGGCGAGTAAAAAGGCTTTATATTATCAAAACATTGGTAACAATAAATTCCAGACAGATTTATTCACAACTAAAACACACTCATTAACGATTTTTCTTTCTAAATTGCATTACGTACCTCATAACCACCAGTATAAACATTAATAATGTAAAAATATAAACTATAAACAAACAAAACATACCAATGTTTCCTTCGATCGAGACCCTCTTTATTTGACCGCTTGTTCTCATTTGTTTGCACGTCAAGCGATGAAGAGAAGAGCTCGAGAAAAGACGTATTGTCTTCCTCACACTCATCCCTAACATATTACAGAAAAATAACATTTACATCATTCATATGCAAGACCGTTTTGACCATTTTATTGGCGCCCACTAACTTAGCAAAAGCGCACTTCCGGTTACGGCATGTTGTACGTTTCAAAATAAAAGTTCTTTCTTTTTTTAAGGAACGTTAAATGTCAAAATAAAAGTCATTTTACATCGGCAAATCGCAAAAATAAAAAGTTTGAAACTTACCAACCTTACAACAACGTTACAAGAACAGAAACATCCTTTAATAGAATACTTGTTACAGCGCACTTTTTTGTAAAATGTCTTAAAATGCCAACAACACAAAATACATTAAGATAAAAAGTTCAGCAAGTATTAATGAATAACCATTTCATCATTTAAAAAGCATTTGGGAATCTTTAACAACTTCATTGGCTAGATTATTGTGACAACAAATAAAATCACAAAGGAAGAATAAAATTTAGCATGAAACACTGCTGGAAATAAATCTCATTGGAAAGGTTCACTGTTGAATATGCAATCACATAAGAAATAAAAACATTAAAAAAAAAAAAACATTTGTCTTCAAACTTGTACAAAACAATAAAAAAGTACAAATAAAATAAACCTCTCTCTTTTTTCCACCAAAACAATAAAAAGCAGGTTTTAGTTCTACTCCCATAAAAACTAAACTCTGATATGGTTTCACATCCCAGTCCATCACCAATCCATGTCAAAAAATAAAGGCTACAGTGTAATACTGACAACAGAAAACCAGAAAAAATTCACACATAAATCAAGAGTTTTCAAAAAGACTTGGGGAAGCACAGTTGAGATATTGCAAAAACCATCACTGTGCACAAACAGCAATTTCAGTTTCCAAAAAGTGAACAGGAAAAAAGAAAGGCTCTCTGGAAAACGCATCAAGGCTGCCGAATATGGTATTAATACCAGTTTCTATCTATCCTTGCTGCCTAGTTTCTCAATAAGGTCCTGAAGGGGTGCCAGCTCTCTGCGGTCGATGAGATTGAACTCCTAAAAAGAAATCAAAAATAGTAATCAGTTCAAGAAGAGTCTTGCCCATACATATCGTGACCTATCCCTCTGCATATCTGTTTTACTGTGTATGTATATCTGTTTTACATTCTGTTTTTATCTGAGTATGTTGAAACATTTCAGTGTTTTATTCTTCAATATACTGCCCTTTCAAACTCTAAATAAAACTTAACTATAGGAACTAGTGGATGTGTGTTAATGCACTGACCTGTACAAAGAAGATAAAATGCTTGAAGGAGGTGTTGAGGTGAGCTTCCTCCTGAAGCTGCATGACCGAGTCAAAGTGCTGGTGGTAAATATGAGCATAAACCCTGAACAGACGCTTCAGAATAGTCTTCGCCACGGACATGAAGTTCTTGGGAAACGGAACGCCTGGAAGGAGTAAAGTTAATTTGACAAGTTCTTTATGTGGCCGAGCCTGTGTGAAAAAGGTTTCAGAACAAATGGATTGGATCAAACGAACCGATCTTGGACGGGAAGAGGGTTTCGTCATCCAGCTGATCCTGAACCCAGGTCATCAAGTAGTCAATGTACTTGGGCGCTGAACACTTGATGGGTTTTTTGATGTTGGTCCCGTCTGCCCAGTGATATTCATACCTATTGATTTATCCGGCAAGACATACATTTTTTTGTAAACTAAAGTCAAATCGATTGTGATTAATCACATCTAACCTAAAGCTTTGTGTGTGTGTGTGTGTGTGTAAACTTGGAAATCTTGGTTAAAGGAGTAGTTCACTTTTAAAAAAAACTTTTGCTGATAATTTACTCACCCCCATGTCATCCAAGATCTCCATGTCTTTCTTTCTTCATTCGAAAAGAAATTAAGGTTTTTGGTGGATTTTCTCCATTTAATGGACTTCAATGGGAACCAAACGGTTCAAGGTCCAAATGAGAGTTTCAATGCAAACTGTTCAAAGGGCTTTAAATGATTCCAGACGATGATTAAGGGTCTTATCTAGCAAAACGATCGCTCATTTAAAAAATAAATAAAAAACTAAGTTTTATAAGCTCAAATGCTCGCCTTGCTCTGTTCTGTGTTGCGCGTTCGTGACTCTCCTGTTCGAACTCGTTCATCAAAATGAACGAATCTTTTTTCGAGTCATTTAGTTCATTCAATGAACCAAATGACTTGTCCGGTGTCGTTTAAAGCCATTTGAAGCTGCACTGAAACTCTCATTTGGACCTTGAACCGTTTGGACCCCATTGAAGTCCATTATATGGAGAAAAATCCTGAAATGTTTATCAAAAACCTTAATTTCTTTTCGACTGAAGAAAGAAAGAAATGGACATCTCGAATGACATGGAGGTGAGTAAATTTTCAGCAAAAGTTTTTATTTTTAAAGTGAACTACTTGACTAACTATATAAATATTTATGTTTTAATGAACAAGGCAGCGTAATCATGTATGCTACCAGTTTTTTAGCCTACTATTCATTTGTCATTATGTTAAAGGGAAAATACTAAAGCACTGAATAGACAGTGAATTATTTTACCTGGGTCCGGCAGACATAACAGAGCAACTGGTTTCTGTGCAAAATTCAGTGATCGTGCCATAGAGCATGTTGATCTGGTTGAAAAAGTCCACAGCTGAAATAAATGGGTAAGGGTTAAATGTTATAATCATCATTTTCTTATCAATACTTCCATACACACTCACTATTGACTGCAATCCATTCATTAAGGTCTTCTCCCTCCGGTAACATCACGGCCGCTCGAAGATTACCACTTCCTAAAGTGGCTTCTGCATGTTTCAGAAGTTCATACTGGTGAGAGCCTTCTGGGATATTTTTCTTGGGCTTGAATGTCTTTGATGAACGGTTTCCACTGCAATAGTAACAAAATAAGTCACATGTTGCATCAAGTGAGAAAAATGCAGAGATGTGGTTAAAATTGATTACACAATATATATCAACTGAACACGAGGGTTAGAACTGAAAAGAAGATTTGCAATTCAAAAAACGCTGAGTCAAACTTTCATGCTTTTTATACAGAAAAGCGTACATGTATTAGGGGAAATAATGTATGCCAGGAGTAAAAAAAGTTAAAGTGACTTTTTAATATTATCTAAAGCAGTGTCATTTTTTTATTTATTTTATATAATGTTCACAGTTATGCTTAGCCCGTTTCGTCACATGAATGTGATATTTCCCAAGTAAAATAAAAAGTTGTATGAATTTTTTTAATACTTTTCGAAAGAATATGACGTCAGACAGATCAATTTGCATTAACGTTACAGCTTAGAAATGAAGTTAGAGACATATCCAACCCAAATCATCTCGAATATACACATTCAAAGAAAAGATGGAGATTGCTAAACAAAAATTCACAAGTCTTCCATATCCTGGAACTTTTCATGCTTGTGTATTGACCAGAGCATATGTTTACGCCATATTCCGAACACAGGAACAGATATGTCGACCGGAAATGTTGTTAGTTTTAAAAGTTTATTGTTATTGCAAATGTTATTTGGTTTATTTATTTTTTGCTGGGTGAACTTCCACATTACACATTATCAGCAATACGCTATTATGAAAAAGAAAGTATAAACGGTCGCATCGGCTAAATACTTACAACAAGAAACTCATATCCGCTTCTTTTCTTTCCTCTTAAAACTTTTATAAGGCGATACCAATGTCTACTGGGATAAAATTAATCCTCAAAGGCCTTTAAACACTATTTATAAGTAGGCCTACTCTTCGAAGGTCGATGTTTCACAGACGAAAGATATATAAGTAGGCGTAGTAGTCAGATTCAGGAAATGTCTACGATTGGTTCCCTTTAAGTGATATGAAACCATAGAAATAAAACGCTGCTGACAAAGTTGACTCCTCATCTATAGGAATCGGATATTGTTACGATTTTGTTTGGTACTTTTAACTACAATTACATAACAATTATTAGTACAACAAGTTAAAATTCGCCCGTCTGCCAAACCTTATATTTAAACTGCGCATGCGCATATTGAATCAAGGGGCGGTAGTTAGTTTCCCATCGGGGATCATGTAGTGACGCTAGATAGCCAGTAGCCACGCATTAGGGAGGGCACTGGGGTTAAAAACGTACTCCAAATGTGAGTATGTGAACACATTTCTGCCTTATTTCCCCCTGATCTGTTTTGGGTCACACACGTACGCCTTAGCTGTTTTTAATATTTTACTCGTATTTCTTTATATTAAGCACCATGGCTACACTCCGGGCGTTGCGGAAACTATGCCGGCATTTTCATCATCAGGCATGTAGTTTTCATTTGTCATCTTCAAGGTAAGTGTCTAAGAGCTGTCCTCTCTCATTCGTATATAGAATAAGTTAGAATAAGAATAATGTCACTGATCCGCTCTCGATACTGGTTGTCATATATAACTACAGTGGAACTGTAAATCTTTATTAGTTGTGCCTCTGTTGTAATTCTCTCAGTATTTCACCTGGTTTATTTGTAAAAGCATGTCACATGAGACTTCCTCTCGATGGTTTGGTTATGTTACGTAACAAATGCCGGTTTAATTGTTCGCTTCATCTGCGCGCCCCCGATCAGCGCGCGCGGCTGATGTAATGTCACAAACTGCTTGCATGCAGCCGGCGTCAAGTTTCTAATTTCTGTGCTCATGTGTAGATGATTTGTAGTGATCGTTATGCATGATGGCTCAAATTGAGCACGGACCCGTTTTCATTTATGCTCCACGTCGTCAGTGATTTAGTGGAACTAATTTAGCTGTGCTGACAAAATTATACACACGTGATTAAATGCGTAAATTAAAGTCACTATGCAATCAAAATCGTCCATTATCAGTTTTTATCCGTGCACATTTTTTCTTTAGGTCATGTGACCTCGTAATCTTAAAAAAACAAAACAAAAACACTCTTTTTTTTTTTTTTTTTTTTTTTTTTTTTATTAACAACCACATTCTTTTGCATTATTTGTACTATTGTCAATTTTTTTTTCTTTTTCCCCTCTGGTGTTTGTTCTGTTCTTTGTAAAACAAAAACACTCTTGAAAGGACATCTCATCTCTGATGACGTGTTTACTGCCGCGTGGGCGGGACAACATGTCACTCACACGAGATCCACCAATAGCAAATCACAGTGATCCAAGTCCCGCCTACATTGTTTCTTGATTGTTTTATTTGTGTATATACATTACAATAGGGTAGAAATGACTTTCACGCCAACTTTCAAAGTGTTTCGAGTAATCAACTTCTATGTCGAGATCACAAGAAATAAATTTGTGATCATGGGAAAAGCTAATTTTGTTTGAGAAAACAATTTGTGGATACGTAAATCTTCCATTGGTTGTCAATGCCTTTATCAAAATCGACATAGATTTCAAAGTAAGCGTTTTATCAGTTCACGCATTGTCCTGGACTCGATGTCTATCAGAGTCAAAATATGATACACCAGTGTTTTGCCTGATGAGAAGTTTATGCTATGCATCATCTTTTTACTGTTTTAAACCATTTTATAACGGTATAATTTTTCTCCTTTAATTTATTTTATAACTGCTTTAATTCCCCCTGCTTTTATTTTGTCTATTTTCTGTGCAAAGCTCTATGAATTGCTATAGTGTGATGATTATGTTATTTTCAGTTATTGTCCACATGTCTTCATTTAGACGAGTCTATCTCACCAGCGCAGAGCTTATCTTTAGATCACAGCTGTGAGTGTTCGACTGCCAGTGTATTTGAGGATATTGTATGAACAGATAAATTGGTAACACTTTACACTTTACTGAACTAATAATGAACTGCACGTAACAGCATTCATTAATATTTGTTAATGTTAATTTCAACATATACTTTCTTCAAATCTTGTTAAAGGAGTAGTTCACTTTTAAAAAAAACTTTTGCTAATGATTTACTCACCCCCATGTCATTCAAGATGTCCACGTCTTTCTTTCTTCAGTCGAAAACAAATGAAGGTTTTTGATGAAAATATTCCAGGATTTTTCTCCATATAATGGACTTCAATGGGGTCCAAACGGTTCAAGGTCCAAATGAGAGTTTCAGTGCAGCTTCAAAGGGCTTTAAACGACACCAGACGATGAATAAGGGTCTTATCTAGCGAAATGATCGCTCATTTAAAAAATAAATAAACGTTTAAGTTTTATAAGCACAAATGCTCGCCTTCCTCTGTTCTGTGATGTGCGTTCGTGACTCTCCTGTTTGAACTCGTTCATCAAAATGAACGCATCTTTTTGAGTCATGACTCGAAGGGTCCTTGATAAGACCCTTATTCATCGTCTGGTGTCGTTTAAAGCCCTTTGAAGCTGCACTGAAACTCTCATTTGGACCTTGAACCGTTTGGTCCCCATTGAAGTCCATTATATGGTGAAAAATCCCTGAATGTTTTCATCAAAAACCTTAATTTCTTTTTGACTAAAGAAAGAAAGGCGTGGATATCTTGGATGACATAGGGCAGTGTTTCCCAACCCTGTTCCTGGCGGCACACCAACACTGCGTGTTTTCTTTGTCTCCCTAATCAAACACACCCGATTCAACCCATCAGCGTATTAACCCACCTGATTATGAGCTGATGGGTTGAATCAGGTATGTTTGATAAGGGAGACAAAGAATACACGCAGTGTTGGTGTGCCGCCAGGAACAGGGTTGGGAAACACTGACATAGGGGACACGAACAAACCATGAGCAATACAACCTGGGGGAAAAAGTGTTCAGATCAGAAGCAAAATTATGGCACTTTGCAGTGAAAATTTGCCCTCCTTTTATTTTCCAGACAAGATGCTGTGATCATCTCGGGCAGAAAACTGGCCCGTCAGATCCGTAACGAGGCGCGTGCCGACGTGGAGGAGTGGGTGTCCGCGGGGAACCGAAGACCTCACCTGAGCGTAGTGTTGGTGGGAGACAATCCAGCCAGTCACTCGTACGTTCTCAACAAGACCCGCGCAGCAGCAGAAGTGGGTAAGATACGAGTTATCGGCTCCCATCAAACTTTAACGAACTGTGACGTTTCGACCAGACAAGGTTGTCGTCAGGTGCAATCAGATATCAAGGGGCTGTTTACACGACACCGTTTTCAACCTAAAGGCCCGTTCACACCGCGACGAATTTCACGTGCGATATTCGCTGATGTCTAACGCCTCGTGACTAAACAAAGGGCACCAATGTGAGTGTGACGCGAAAAACGCCACGCGTAAAAGCGTCATTTTTTTAAAAACTGCCTCGGGTAAATTTTTTTTTTAGTTTGTCGCACCGCTTCAAAAAATATCTGACCAATGAGATCAGTAGCACCTCATTGCAGTACACAAGATCCAGGGGGCGGATCCAGCTCTGAGGGGTGGAGCTGGGTAGGTTATATGTAAGGTGGGAGGAGTTGGATCTGGACTGTCTTTCTAATACTCAGAAATGCTGTAGACTTATGATTTTACACATGGTTTGTCTTAACGCATATTAAAACACCACATAGACATATAAACAACATTAAAAGCTTGATTTTCACCACAGGGGGACTTTGCCGCACAAGCCCTCAAAAGTGAAGCCAAAATGTCTTGATCGCCCCCTGGTGGCCGGTCCTAGTATAGGTCATAAACCCCGCCTCCCCATGTTATTCAACGGGACGTGAGACCAACTCAATTACAACTTCACATATCCTTTATCCAAATAAATATTACAGAATTTTTGGGTGAACTAACCCTTTAATGCTTTCTTTAAATGGATTAATCAGAATGGATAGTAGTCTCGGTATTGCTGTAGCATGTCTATGTAAGCGATGAGTGTCACTTTCCACCGTGAATACAGTGTGCAAATCTATTTTGAGTGTACATATGACTCCTTACAGGTCCTCACGCTGGTGAGGGGCCTTACATTGGTCACTAGTGGCATTAGTACATCCACATTTTCTCATAAATGCACATTTTCCTCAGTGTTTTTTAGTATTAAGGCTGGAATACCCTACATAACGTTTTAAAACACTAGGCATCATACACTTGCAACTTTGTGCATCATGAACTAAATACACACTACCAGACTTCAAGTCATTCAGAACACAAGCTCATGCAGAAACATGATGCTGGGAGAAGTGTACGAAATGGACACTTAACTGTCCCATGAGGCCACAGGAGAGGATTTATGTGTTTCAGTGAAGCGACGCTACTGACGCTGGTATTACACACATGATGTAGAGGACATCTTTTAGAATATATATATATATATATATATATATATATATATATATGAAGAGTTCAGATGCAAAAGCCTCTAAGTGCCATTTGAAATTTTCTTCTTGAATGATAATTTTTATCAAGCTTGTATATTTAAGTTCAGTAATTTCACTTAAATGGCAATGATAATTACCTATTAATTGTTATTTAAGTGAAATTACTGAACTTAAATATACAAGTTTGATAAAAATCATCATTAAAGAAGAAAATTTCAAATGGCATTTAGAGGCTTTTGCATCTGAACTCTTCATATATATATAATTTTATTAAGGAATCAATATAAAAAATGAGTACAAGTAAACAAACAAAACAGTAAGAGAAAAACAAACAAATGAACATACAAACAAACAAAATAATAATACAAGAGGAGAAAAGGGAGCCAACGTATACAAATAGACAAACAAAATCGACAGATGGCAATACGGATGCATCTATATCTCTCTTACCTACACGTATAGACCCATACACGTGCATACATATTCATACACACATACCTGCATGTATATATACACACACACATATATATATATATATACACATACATATACATAGACATACATTCATATATATATATACATACATGCATGCATCCACATACACAAATATATACATACGAAGAGTTCAGATGCAAAAGCCTCTAAGTGCCATTTGAAATTTTCTTCTTTAATGATGATTTTTATCAAACTTGTATATTTAAGTTCAGTAATTTCACTTAAATAACAATTAATAGGTAATTATCATTGCCATTTAAGTGAAATCACTGAACTTTAATACACAAGTTTGATACAAATCATCATTAAAGAAGAAAATTTCAAATGGCATTTAGAGGCTTTTGCATCTGAACTCTTCATACATACCTACATATAGACACACATACCCTCATACACATGCAAAAAAAAATAATAATAAAAAATAAATAAATAAAAAATGTTAATAAAAAAAAAATAAAAATAAAGGGGGGGGGGGTATAAAAAATAAGACTTTTTTTTATTTAATCAGCTAATTAACTAATCACTAATTATATTGTTTGAGTTCAATTTCAAATGAAAAGTTTATGCTGTACGTTTGTTTTTGTGCAAGAATGCCTCAACCTTTTAATATTGGCATTAAATAATTACTTTTACACAGAGCACTGTTATCCTTAAATTGTATTTGGGTGATTATTAAAATGAATTATAATAAGAATTGTTAATTATATATCCTTTCCAACACCCCAGATCGCTTTACAATATAGGTTAAGAAATTAAAAAAAACAACAACCTCAACATCAAAGATGACAGAAAGTAATATTCAGAGGTTACTTGCATTAATCTCTTACAATATTCATAACAAGGCAGAGGTCTACATCAAAGCGCACAAAAATTAGCATGTCATGGAACCTTTAAAGATTGTGAGCTAAAGAGTAATATTCAGATTTTTTTTAAAGTGTTTTTAAGAGGTTTTTGATGGAGAGAGAAGGGTGGATGCTTGACAGATGTCTTGAGGAAGAGCATGCCACAATGCTAAAAAAACTGAGTTCCATGTTACCCGATATTGAAAATGCCAAATATGACACAGATATTTTTCACCAGCCGCCAGAAAGTTTCAGTACACATGAAATGTGCCAGAATCTGCAGGCGTTGTCTGAGTTTTGGCAACTAGAGCCGACCCGTCAAGGCATGCATGCATGTGTAATCCAGCCTTTTGTCTTGATCTTTACACGACAACATTATATTGAATCTCTGTTCTGTTTTATTCTCTGTAGGCATTAGCAGCGAGACCATCTTGAAGCCTTCGAGTATCAGTGAGGAGGAGCTGCTCGACCTCATCAAGAAACTCAACTCTGATCACAGAGTCGACGGTCTGTTGGTGCAGCTTCCGCTTCCTGGTGGGTTAACAGAAGATAACAACAGCGTTCATTTTAGTTTTATTCATATTTTGTACTTTTAATGTTAATTTTTTTTTTTTTGTAATTCTGTCATGTGCTTAAAATCTATTTAGGTTTGGTTTTAGTTTCAGTCTGATTTATTTCCAGTTATTAATTTCAGTGCTTTACTTAAATTATTTCAGTTAATTGGCAAGGCAACATTTCTAATTGTCTATTTAAAAAAAATATATATATATATATTTTAATTAACAGAAATGTCTTTAATACTGAACGATTATGGATGCATTGAGAATTAAGATTGTTTTGGTTTCAAAAATTGATCACAATTCTGAATAGACAACTAATTAGTTGTCTATTCAGTTGTCTATTTTACTACAAATTCTGACAAAATGTTCAGTTTGAAATTGAATGAATGATTCACTCATAAAGACTTGACTTGTTCCATTACTGGATGAATCAGTGTTTTTGAACAGATCTCTTGAGTGAACGATTCAATGACTCATTTTTTTTTTAACGGTCACTTGTCGCCACCTACTGGTGTAACGATGCAATCGACACAATCATCAGTTTTGTGCAAAAGTTAGTTTACTCTATTTTGATCGCTACCGTAAACATTAGTTTAGATCCGATCTATAAACGTTTATCCCAGTACTTTTGTGATAATTTGAATTATTATATAATGATACTTTTGGTTTTAGATAATGATAGTAACCCTGCCTATAAAAAAGAGTTGATGTCCCTCTTTAGTTGTTGGTTATTGGACCATTACATCATCAGTGCTGTGAACTGGGTCTTAGAAATAATTGCATTAGGCTGAATGGACTTAATGGTAATTTCAAACAATTTTTTTTATGTATTTTTAGTCCAGTTTGAGCTAGAGTTTCTAAAATGGACATAAACGCTTTATCCAGACTGATAATTTTTTTTTTTTTTTTTCTCAATGGTTTCCTCTCTTACACAGATCACATTGACGAGCGACTGGTGTGTAATGCCGTCTGCCCAGGAAAAGATGTTGATGGTTTCCATGTGGTCAATGTTGGTCGCATGTGCCTGGATCAGACCACTATGTTGCCGGCCACTCCCTGGGGAGTTTGGGAGATTATAAAACGGACAGGTGAGAAACACACTATTGATCGCACGGGGTAATCTAAACCTTAGCTGCTTTTAGACATTGTAGAGAATAAATAGATTTTAACAAGCTGTACATTTGACCTCTAGTAATAATATAAAGGGAAATGACGGGAGGAAAAAATTATCCCCTGAAAAACGTTGCATTTTCTCACAAAAAGTCTCATATTTTGACTCTCTGTGTTTGCATAATTTACCACAGCTGAAGTGACATAAATACAATATTTGTCTCATACACAGACTTTTTCATTCAATACTTTGTTCAAGAATAAAGTTCAACATAAGCCAATCATATCAATAAAGTGGGGTCTACTTTTTTAAATCAGTTTTATTTTGATAAACATGACAACATAACATCACGACGAAACGAAAAGACATTTTACTGTTATAAAAAACTGATTTTTGAGCGTTAGTGTAACTGAAGGCGTGAGAATAAACACGAAACCCTGTGATAGTTGTCATGTGGTGGATTCGGCCAATCGTGAAACAGCTGTCGTCATCAGTTCGTGCAGTCGCTCTTGAGAGGCCTCCTGCTCTCGCGGTACTTTGATGGGATACGTCACATGGTGTCGGCGCTGTATCAAGTCGGACAACATTTCTAAATAGCATGCACTGCTTCAAGTCAGCCGCCGATCGGTCTGCGCAGAGCCGCATGAAGTCTAACAAGCCTTAGGCCGTGTGTCAACCAATAGTTGTGGGCGCTCGAGAGCATTTTGAGCGCTTCGTTGCTATGATACAGAATATCCGCTGCACAGTTTATTTGTAACTGATACTACATACTAAAAAAGTTCGGTTGATGTTGTTGTACAGAAAGAATCTTGTGACAGTTGGTCGGGGTAGTTTAGCCCCGCCCCTCCTGCACTGTGATTGGATGGCCGGGTAAAAAGTGACAGTGATGAGTGCTGCGTTTTAGCCAAAGTTGAACATTCTTCAGTGTTCAACTTAAACAAGTAAAAAACAATCGGGCGCTTCAGCGTGAAAAAAACGCTCAGCGCCTGCCGTTTTAAAAACGCGCCGCTCCCATTGAAAACAATTGAGAAAATACGCCAGCCGTGTGAAACAACGCTTCGGTGTACACACGGTCTTATGTAACACAGGCCACTCCCCCCTCATGAGTGGACACGCCCCTTGCTGCTGAGTTTTGTTGCTCGGTTCAATACAATTACAACAGCGCTTCTCAGAAATCGCTTACTGCACCTTTAACCCCTTAACGCCCACTGTCGCAAATATGCAACAACCCATTTGACTCAGTCAACCAGCCGAGATAACGTCTGCATTCCCCCAATGCCGGTTTGTGCATATTCACTACGGACCTAGGACCTTCGACAAGCACTTGTTTCAAAGTGACGGACTTATTTCCTGTTTACGCACGAGGATTTCTCTGGTCAGGAACATTTGCAACATACCAAATTGACCATTATGCCCGCTGTTGCAGATTTGCAACATACCAAAATTACGATTTATTTGTTGTGCAAAAGTGAAATTGATAGTCTCAACATTATTTACCATCTACTTAAAGGCAAAAACCTTTTTTTTATATATACAGCTATATACATTCAGACGTTAAGGGGTTAAAGGATGTACATGTCTTTCTTTCTTCAGTCAAAAAGAAATTAAGGTTTTTGATGAAAACATTCCAGCATTTTTCTCCATATAATGGACTTTAATGGGGTCCAAATGGTTCAAGGTCCAAAAGACATTTTCAGGGCAAACTGACCTTAAATCAAAATAAACAAAGTCAATTTGTTTGTTTTGTTCGTTGAATGAACCAAATGACTTGGATAAAGATTAGTTTATTTTGATGAACGAGTTCGAACAGGAGAGTCACAAACGTGGGTCACAGAACAGAGCAAGGCGAGCATTTTTAGCTTATAAAACTTAAACTTTGTTATTTATTTTTTAAATGAGCGATCGTTTCGCTTGATAAGACCCTTATTCATCGTCTGGAGTCGTTTGCCTTTGAACAGTTTGCACTGAAACTCTCATTTGGACCTTGAACCGTTTGGTCCCCATTGAAGTCCATTATATGGAGAAAAATCCTGGAATGTTTTCATCAAAAACCTTAATTTCTTTTCGACTGAGGAAAGAAAAACGTGGACATCTTGGATGACATGGGGGTGAGTAAATTATCAGCAAAAGTTTTTTCATAAGTGAACTACTCCTTTTGTATAGCCTGATGTCGTCATACTCAGATTGTAGTCAGAGTGTGAGTCTGGGCTGTGATTATGGGGCGAGTTTAACCGAACCAGGAAAGAAAATGCCTCCGCACTCAATTGGATCGACAAATGCCTTTATCGCGGTTCTCCGTTCCTCTTTTAAAATGAATGCGGTGTCTAGATCTAATATAACAGACGTAATGGCTGAATCTACACATCTCAGTTCTCCAGTGGCAGCCATTCTTTATGTAAACGAATTCAACCCAAGCGCTCTTTGGCGACGTGATGATTACGTTACTGTTGATCATCCGTCCATCACCGTATAAACCCCGCCCTGACAATTTGATTGATCCGAACAGCTTTGGTTCGGGAGTGCTTCACAACGGATCAAGTCCAGACTCAAATGTTGTGGGCGGGGCTAAATCCAGGCTAAATCAGAGTCAAATATTCAGGCAGAACAAACATGATATAAAATGTCAGATGCAAATTATTGATCTTTTTTTCGCGTAGGCATAGAGACGCTGGGTAAGAACGTGTTGGTGGCCGGTCGCTCCAAGAACGTAGGAATGCCCATCGCAATGCTGTTGCACACAGACGGAAAACACGAACGGCCCGGAGGTGAGAAAATAAAGCAAAAGCACGTCCACTTCTGATGAGGTTTGGTTAGGAATTAATATAATTGCCTGTTTTGTTTCAGGTGATGCCACAGTGACCATCTCCCACCGGTACACTCCCAAAGAACAGCTCCGTCAGCACACAAAAATCGCGGACATCGTTGTTGCTGCTGCGGGTACGGATTTCAATTTGCAAATGGAATTGATCTTAAAGGGATAGTTCACCCCAAAATGTGACTGACGAACACCATGATCCCCTCAGGTATTCCTAACCTCATCACTGCTGATATGATAAAGGAGGGCGCCGCTGTTATAGATGTTGGGATCAACAGAATATTGGACCCCTTGACTGGGAAAAACAGACTTGTTGGTGATGTGGACTTTGAAGGTAAGAAGGAAATGCAACTAGGTGTGTGATTTTTCTGTAGTTGCTAAAATAGTAGGCTGAATGCCTTTCACACTTTCTCAGTTCATTTAATCTTTGTGTTTGCAAGGCAACAGTTGTAAATATCTTATAATATCAGTCTTGGGTGATTTATTTTATCTTTTTTATCTTTCGTTAGTGTGTAATGTTAAAAAAGCTCCAGTTATTCTCTATATCAGTGTCATTGTCACTACAGTTTCTTCCGGGAACGAACACGACACAATATTCCTCATTATAATAATTCATGCGCAGAATAAAGGGGAGGGGCCTGGTTCGCTTAGTTAGTAGTGTGTTAAACTGGCGGTTATGGAAAGGGGCGGGACATTTCCCAAGCACACTTGAAGTGCTCGACCAATCACAACACACCGATCCAGCCGACCAATCAGAGCACAGTGTGCTTTTCAAAAGGAGGGGCTTGATGAACAGAGCGTTACTGACAGACTGGGAAGAGAGGAGCCGCAACAATGGAGAATATGAGGAGAATAATCAACAATCAAGCATGAACCTGTTCAAGTAGAGCCAATAAAACAACATTAAGACTTTGTAAAAGCTTTGTTTAAAAAATATCCTATTGACTTAATTATGTAATTTAAATACTTTATATAGTGTATTATGTGATGTTAAATATATCAATATAGTAATATAGCCACCTTTTACTAAGCAAAACCCATGTTTTTTTGGTGTGTTGATTCGAAACATGACACGAAGTCAAATCGTGACAATACTTATGCAGCAGAAGCTAAACTAAAACTTATGCTGCCTTGCAATTTAAAGGAGTAGTTCACTTTAAAAAAAAAAAAAAACTTTTGCTGATAATTTACTCACTCGCATGTCATCCAAGATGTCCATGTCTTTCTTTCTTCAGTCGAAAAGAGATTAAGTTTTTTTGATGAAAACGTTCCAGGATTTTTCTCCATATAATGGACTTCAATGGGAACCAAACGGTTCAAGGTCCAAAAGACACTTTCAGTGCAAACTGTTCAAAGGGCTTTAAACGATTCCAGACGATGAATAAGGGTCTTATCAAGCGAAACGATCGATCATTTAAAAAAAATAACAAAGTGTAAGTTTTATAAGGTCAAATGGTCGCCTTGCTCTGTTCTGTGATGCACGTTCGTGACTTTCCTGTTCGAACTCGTTCATCAAAATGAACAAATCTTTTTTCGTGTCATTTAGTTAATTCAACGAACGAGTTGACTTGGGAAAAGATTTGTTCATTTTGATGAACGAGTTTGAACAGGGGAGTCACGAACGCGCATCACAGAACAGAGCAAGGCGAGCATTTGTGCTTATAAAACTTAATTTTTTATTTATTTATTTATTAAATGAGTGATCGTTTCACTTGATAAGACCCTTATTCATCGTCTGGAATCGTTTAAAGCCCTTTGAACAACAGAAACTGTCTTTTAAACCTTGAACCGTTTGGTCCCCATTGAAGTCCATTATATGGAGAAAATCCTGGAATGTTTTCATCAAAAACCTTAATTTCTTTTCGACTGAAGAAAGAAAGACATGGACATCTTGGATGACATGGGGGTGAGTAAATTATCAGCAATTTTTTTTTTTTTTAAAGTGAACTACTCCTTTAAATTAATTGTTAACATGTAGTTCTATTCGCTCTTTTTCTGAATGTATTTTAATCAAGGTTTAAGTTAATGGGACAACATGAAGAGGGGTGTTCTCCTACTGGTCTGACTGTACTGTAAATCTGCTTGTATGGAGTGTTCTGGCATGACTTGTAATTTGTCTCCACAGGTGTTCGAAAGAAGGCCAGCTTCATCACTCCAGTTCCAGGCGGTGTTGGACCAATGACTGTAGCCATGCTGATGAAAAACACCATCAAGGCAGCTAAAAATGTGATTTTAACCCCCCCTCAGCGTGTGCGGATGGTAGCGTCCTCATAACGCGCTCCGTCTCGGCTCGCTTCACATTCCACACTCCACCTTTATTTTGAGGATCTCCAAGTGGAAAGGCAATTTCTTTAAATGCTATTTTTATTTAGATAAACATATATATATTCAAGGGTTTGAGAAAACGAATGTGCTTTTTCATTCAGATATTTTAAACAAAATATATATTTAGTGTTTTTTTGGTTGTTTTTTTTGTTACATCGCCAAGCATTAGACACGTGTGAACTTTTGTTCATGCACTAGGGCTGCAGGATATTGAAGAAAAATGCGATAACTTTTTTAAGCAAATAATGTGCTATGTGAGTGTGTAAAATAAACTTAAATTATATATCCTACAAAGGTTTTTCACATTCTTTTTTTTGACAAGAAAACATCCCTTCAACTTCTGAAAGCATAAGAAGTGTTATTTTAACATCGGTGCGTTTCAGGAAGGCCTACATTAGGGTTATTTGAATAATCAAATGTAGAAATACATTTCACTGTATGAATTAAATCTATATTGATTCGTATTTAAGCTACAAAAGTTATTCAGCAAACTTGTTCATGACCCGTTATTGCACATTATTGCGATATATACATTTGTGATATTTCGATATATTGTGCAGCCCTATTATGTTTTGTTCTGTTACAGTTTTGCATTTTTTCAGCATTTTGTATGTTTAAGTATTAAAATAGGATATTGCCAGATGTTTTGAAGCATATTTATTCATGAGAAACACTGTTTCTAGTGCAACTGCAGTCAGTGTCGTTGCATTTACCTTCAGATGTGAGTGTGTGTGGAAAGAGTCACATGGCTAATTCTGGTCAATAGTGAGTCAGCATGAAAGATATCTGACCAAATGACCTTTGCAATGACGGTCTAGGGAATATTTGTGATTGAATTGACTGACCCATCACTACTTTATTTTATTTATATCCTCCTATCGAGAGAAAAATCTTGGCAGGTTGGTGCTTTTTTTTCTTTTCTTTTTAGTTGTATGTTCCGATGTCTTACTGAAATCTGTTACTAACGTGTAATGCCTTCCAGACATGAAATTAAAAGCGTAATATGCAACCTTATGTTTTATTTGAATCATATTAGCCTGCTTGTGTTTGAAACCCTTAAGTGTTTTGTTAAAACTTAGGAATTCTGACTTCTATTATGATTATGTAGTTTATTGATAATATTCATGTATGGTAGTTCATGTTTTATTCAAGGATTTATTCCTAGGTCAGGCGTGAACTGATCAAATTCACCTTGAATGCAATGAGTCACTTTGGATAAATCCATCAGCCAAATGCATTTACAATAGTAAATTTAAAGAACATTTTTGAATATATAATATATATTATATTATATATATATATGCATTTAAATAATAAAAGTGTATATATAAATATTAAACTTACATAAATAATATATATATATATATATATATATATATGTGTGTATTTATTTATATTTATTTATTTATTATTATTATTACTAAGATTATTTTGTAAATATATAGAATAAATGGGAAAAAAAATTACGCCTGGAACTTTAATTATGAAACATCACGAAACCGGATATCCGACATTCTGTTGTTGATACTGCGGAGTGCACATTACGGTTCTCTACAGACTTCGGGTTTAAATATCTTATTAGAAAGCAGAAAGTAAAGGAATTTTAGACTGGTGGACGAGTAAGTATTAATAGGTGTTATTTATTTGGTCCCTATGATTAAGATGAAGTTTGTGCTGTCGTCATTTGATTTGAGATTATTAGAGGCCATGCAGTTCCGGGCCTGTGGCAAATAAATACACACACTTTCTGCGGTTATACAGACTTATTAAATGTGCTCTCGACTTAAACACTAGAGGAGTTTATAAGGATGTATATTTTGTTGTATTGGTCCTCATAACGACCATATATGTCAGCTTTTTGCGCTTCATACAATATAGTTTGTCTAAATGCAGTGTGCTTGCACAATCACACACACACTTTACTGTTGTTGATACGTTTCTTGTAAGTAACCATCTTAATTACTACATAATGTGGCTGCTTATGACATTTATCGTACCTTGCTTGCGCACACAGACTTATGGAAAGCCCATTTCAGCCACAAGTAAAAAAAAAAAAATAATAAAAAAAGATTTTGTGAATCATAATGAAAAGTCGAAATTATGACAGCAAAGAAAGTCATCATTACATTTCCTTCAATATCTCGAGTTTTTTAATATCATGACATGACAAAAAGCCTAATGAATAGTAAAAATTCGATCAAATTGAATGTAATAATCCTTACGTTATTTAATTGAATAATTCGAACAATCATTAATTCAATTTGTAGGAATTTTACTATTAAGTAAATTGCGTAATTCTTAAAAAGAAAAAAACCTTTATGAGTGTATAAGTAATGCATTAGATAATGTAAACGAATTGAGCCTATTATTAAGTGTTATCAAAAGTCTATAGTATACTTGATATGTTGAATTGTTTGTTTTTACCTGCAGATTTATAGCAATCACATTTATTACAAGAGCATACTGCTTTAAAACAGTAACGAATCAGGACTGCTACTTTCCCGACAGCTTGGCAAGTCGATTATTACTGATGGGAGGGAGTGACGCTGAAAGACGATCTAAGATCAGAACCGGAGAAGAGAGCAAATCCCAAAGCTTATCATCATCATCAAGCGCCCGGAGACCCAGTCCAAGCCTCCAGAAGAAGCATGAACGGTCCACTGGTGAGAGAAAGGGAATGAATGGGCTCTTATTACACCTATATTGACGACTGTGTTAAAAAGAAAAGAAAATTCTGTCATTTGTGTGACCCTGATGGCTGACATATGAAGTAATAGTCAAAAAAATCTATTTTTTTTACTTATAAATCGAAGAGTTAATTGAACCTTTAGACAAAATAAAAAAAAAAATCATATAGTAGAGGGGGAAAAAACACCTCAAATTTGTTCAGAGGCCCAAACTGAGCAAAAATATACAATTTGGTGCAGTTGCTCAAAAAAGTAAGATGAATTTCTGATCGCTTGTAAGTTAATGAGACTTAACTTATTAAAAAGCATATAAATATCAATCGTCATTCTGTATCTTCCTATAATATGTCTTAGTAAAATGATGTTTAAATGCTGAGTTTTATGATTAAAGCACTGTATTTTCAAAGCATACAGATGAAACTCGGAAAATTAGAATATGGTGCAAAAGTTCATTTCAGTAATTCAACTTAAAAGGTGAAACTAATATATTATATAGACTCATTACATCCAAAGTGAGATATTTCAAGCCTTTATTTATTATCATTTTGATGATAATGGATTATAGCTTAGGAAAACCTTTTCACAATTTGGTTTTTTTTTTAAATCTGTAAGCCATAATCATCAAAATTATAACAAATAAAGACTTGACATATCTCACTTTGCATGTAATGAGTCTATATAATATATTAGTTTCACCTTTTAAGTTGAATTACTGAGATAAATGAACTTTTGCACAATATTCTAATTTTTATAATGCAATGCAATAAGGATTGAGAGATGAACAAATAGTAATGTGTACACGCAGTATAACATGTGCCTCAAATTCTGGTCTGAAATTAGAGAAGAAAAGGATGAAGAGGAGCCGCTCCAGCTCTTCGTCGTCTTCAAGCTCCACTTCCTCGTCCAGAGAAAAAAAGGCCAAGAAGAAAAAGAAACGGCGAGAAGAAAAGAAACTGAAGCGTGAAAAGAAAAGGGAGAAGAAGGAAAAGAAGCGGCAAAAGAAGTTGGCGCTGAAAGCTGCGAGAGAAGCTTCTGTACCGACTCGTGTTTCTGAAGAACAGCTCTCACCGTTCCTGCAGACCTGGCTGAATGAAGAGACCAAAGAACCCGGCCCTGGTATGTGTTCGCAACATACACACCAATGCCTAACGGACAAAAAGATAAGAAGTTATGATAACACTTTACAGCACGGTCCCCACTTTACAATGCGAGTCATTGATGAAAACATTCCAGGATTTTCTCCATATAATGGACTTCAATGGGGTCCAAACGGTTCAAGGTCCAAAAGACAGTTTCACTGCAGCTTTAAAGGGCTTTAAACGACACCAGACGATGAATAAGGGTCTTATCTAGGACCCTTCGAGTCATGACTCGAAAAAAGATTTGTTCATTTTGATGAACGAGTTTGAACGGGAGAGTCACGAACGCGCATCACAGAACAGAGCAAGGCGAACATTTGAGCTTATAAAACTTAAAATTTTGTCATTTATTTATTAAATGATCGATCGTTTCGCTTGATAAGACCCTTATTCATGGTCTGGTGTCATTTAAAGCCCTTTGAAGCTGCACTGAAACTCTCATTTGAACCTTGAAGCGTTTGGACCCCATTGAAGTCCATTATATGGAGAAAAATCCTGGAATGTTTTCATCAAAAACCTTAATTTCTTTTCGACTGAAGAAAGAAAGACATGGACATCTTGGATGACATGGGGGCGGGTAAATTATCAGCAAAAGTTTTTTTAAAAGTGAACTACTACTTTAATTTATAAAAATACAACTAGAAGTATTCCGCGCACACATCTAAAGCACGTTTCTTGAAATCCGCTTCTCAGACGGCGCGCAGATCATGTTTATAAGTTTATACTGGGGTAACCGCTGTATTTCTGATGTTTCATAAGCGCCACCTACTGTCAGAGAGTAAAATTGCATTTTCATTCAGTGCAACCTATGCATTTATACGCAGTATAAATTCATATTTATACTTTTGAATCATCCCTTTTCTTAAAGTACCCCTGTAGTCAATCATTTAACCCCTTAAAACTAATCTTTGATCACCAAAATGACATATTTAAGCATTTTTTTCCATGGGAAAAAAACCTTCATGCCTTAAAATAGCCTGAATGTGACTCGACACCCTTGCCTCGTATACGTGGTTCTATGAATATCCAAATGAACCCCGCCTCCACTCACTCACTCAGCTCAGAGATCCACTGGTTGACGATCACTCGTTGATCTGATTGGTTACAAGGTCGTTTGTGATGTCAGAAACACCAGCGATTTCAAACCGAGACTGTCTTTGGTTCACTGCAGTTTTAAGGAGAAAATACTCGGCAATGCTGTCCACTTATGAATTTACACATGGTTTGACCTAAAGCATATTATAACCCCACATAGACGTATAAACAACATTAAAAAATGGATTTTCACTACAGGGGGACTAAAAAAAAAAAAGCCGAAATGTGAGGTTTATAATTTTATTGAACTGTAAAATTGTTTAAAAATCATAGTTAACACTTTAATGTTTCCATAGACATTGCACTACCCTGCCGATATGCTATTATTATATTAATTTTATTTGTGCAGGTCTTTAAATCTGACTTTAAAAAACCTTGCTGATACCGTGTTAGTTCATGTCATCTCCGGTCCATTACATAATATTAACAGATACAACTTTTTGTGTAAATGCTGAGATTAACATTAACTAAGATTATTAAATGCATTTTTCCATCATGAATCCATGCCAAATAGTGTAGTAAACTAATATTAACAAATTAAACCTTTTTAGTAAACTATTACTGAAATGTGTGTTTTAAAAAAACATTTTCTGTAGATTAAATGCGGTTTCTCTCGTCCTGTAGTCATGACTGACGAACAGAAGGAGACTTTCTGCACCAAGAGACCGATGACAAAGGAAGAATACGATGCGAGGCAAAGCATCATCCGCCGTGTCGTCGACCCCGAGACCGGGCGCACCAGGTTAAACCGTCAAATCACTATTTAGTATAAGTTTCATCAACCTGCTACATCCACAAGGCAATAAAACGTTAACATGATGCATTTTTACACAGGCTTATAAGAGGCGATGGGGAAGTTTTGGAAGAAATTGTCACCAAGGAGCGACACAAAGACATCAACAAGGTGCATGACATGTCTTTCTGAAGCATTATGTTTATGTTTTCTGCAGATTTGTGAGACATGTCATTGTTGTCTTGATGTTTTTCACACAGCAAGCCACTAAGGGCGATGGTGATGCCTTCCAGAAGAGACTGGGGATCAACAGGTAGCGAAGTGGCGGATAGGAACGATTAGTTCACTTCAGAATTAAATTTACTCTCCCCCATGTCATCCAAGATGTCCACGTCTTTCTTTCTTCAGTCGAAGGATTCCAGGATTCCAGGATTTTCTCCATATAATGGACTTCAATGGGGACCAAACGGTTCAAGGTCCAAATGAGAGTTTCAGTGCAGCTTCAAAGTCTCAAAACAATCCCAGGCGAGGAATAAGGGAGTTATCTAGGCAAATTGATTTAGTCTTTGCACGTTCTCTTTATAAACTAGGGTCGGTACATACACCTATGTCACGCTTGACCTTTCAACATGTTACTATAATGTGTGGCGCATCACAGCTAGTGCAAGACGAGCATTTGTGGTTAAATGTTTATTTTTGTATAAAATGGCTGCTGGTTTGTCTAGATAAGACTTATTCCTCGGCTGGGATCAAAAATGTTCAAATGTTTAGTCTTTGCCTGTACGCTTTGTTAAAGGAGTAGTTCACTTCAAAAAAACTTTTGCTGATAATTTACTCACCTCCATGTCATCCAAGATGTCCATGTCTTTCTTTCTTCAGTCGAAAAGAAATTAAGGTTTTTGATGAAAACATTCCAGGATTTTCTCCATATAATGGACTTCAATGGGGTCCAAACAGTTCACGGTCCAAAAGACACTTTCAGTGCAAACTGTTCAAAGGGCTTTAAACGACACCAGACGATGAATAAGGGTCTTATCGAGCGAAACGATCGCTCATTTAATAAATAAATAACAAAGTTTAAGTTTTATAAGCTCAAATGGTTGCCTTGCTCTGTTCTGTGATGTGTGATCCTGACTCTCCTGTCCGAACTCATTTTTTTCAAAATGAACGAATCTTTTCCCGAGTCAATTCGTTCATTTCGTTTGTTGAATAAACCAAATGACACAAAAAAAGATTCGTTCATTTTGATGAACGAGTTCGAACAGGAGAGTCATGAACGCGCATCACAGAACAGAGCAAGGCGAGCATTTGAGCTTATAAAACTGAAACTTTTTTATTTTTTAATTGAGCAATCATTTCGCTAGATAAGACCCTTATTCATCGTCTGGAATCGTTTAAAGCCCTTTGAACAGTTTGCACTGAAACTGTCTTTTGGACCTTGAACCGTTTGGTCCCCATTGAAATCCATTATATCAAAAACCTTAATTTCTTTTTGACTGAAGAAAGAAAGACATGGACATATTGGCTGACATGGGGGCGAGTAAATTATCAGCAAAAGTTTTTTTAAAAGTGAACTACTCCTTTAACACTGGGTTGGTATTTACACCTGCGTCAAGCTTGACCTTTCAACATGTTGTTATAATGTGTGTCGCATCACAGAGCTAGTGCAAGACATGCATTTGTGGTTAAAACGTATATAAATGTTTATTTTTGTATAAAATGAGCGTTGGCTTGTCTAGATAAGACCCTTATTCATCGTCTGGTGTCGTTTAAAGCCCTTTAAAGCGGCACTGAAACTCACATTTGGACCGTCGACCCGTTGGACCCCATTGAAGTCCATTATATGGAGAAAATCCTGGAATGTTTTCATCAAAAACCATAATTTCTTTTCGACTGAAGAAAGAAAGAGGTGAACATCTTGGATGACGTGGGGGAGAGTAAATGATCAGGAAGTTGAACTAATCCTTTATGACAAGTCCTGGCCGATCCAAAGACTTCTGCATTTCTACAAGAATCCAACAATTCCTTAGTCCTTTTGTATTTCTCTCCCTTGACTAAATGTGGTGTGCGAATGATATTTTGCTCTCAGATGTTCATTTTTCAGGTGAACTACAGACTAAGGAGTTGAATAAAACTGGAAATTACCAAATGAGGGTAATTAATAACTTTGCATATTTAATGTTCCTTCAAATCAGGAAGAGACTGTCTCTCATTCATCTGTAAATTGCAAAAGACTTTTTTAATGGCTTATTTATTTGTAAATAATGTCATTTTCTGTCTGATTGTATTCTTTGCCATTAAAACTCTGCATCAGTTTATGGTTTTACCTTTAATGAGACCAGAGGACTGCTGCGACATCAATAAAATATCTTTATGCATGTTGGTTTTCTTTATTAAAAATAAGAGCTGACTGCATCAAAACTGAATTCACTACATTTCAAAATGAATTTACAGTATGTTTAGGAATAAGTGCATATAAGTCGTGTCGCTCATGAGAGTCTGTAATGAATTGTTACTGCAGACATCCAGAAATCCTTCAGATGAGTGTTCCTACTAATGACAAAATATAGTTTGTATGTATGAAATTATGCAGGAAATATGAAACGTAAAATGTCGGTGATTATTAACAGAAACTTATTTCAAATACATAAGTTTTACAACACTCACATCTTTAATGCATTCAAATTCAAATTCTTATATACTATATGCATCATCTTGATCGGAGCGTCAGTATAAATGCCTGGAAATAATGTTTCATGTCCATATCCATAAGTTGTGCATGTTATTTTCTGATGATGTTTTCTTGACCAACCTCCACTTCAGCAGTTCAGACTAAACAATAATAGTTCAAGGGTTATATGGAGAGTGCAAATTGCCTTTGTAAAATAATTTTTTATTTTAATATTACATTAAATGTTAATTGAAATAACGAAGTCATTGTCTATTTGATTTGATTATAAACACGTTAGTGCACTAATAGAAGCAGCATAATTACATAACCACAATGAATAACTTATTATATTATTAACATTATCTCTGATTGTGTAACAGACCAGTAGATGGCAATGTGCACATAGTGTGTGAATCATCATATAATGAAAGAAGAAGTAATGTTGTGTATTTAGTACAGTACAGTGTCTGATATTTCTGTAGTTTCGTTTCAGGTTTGTTACTTGAATACGTTTAATTGGGTTGAGCGAGTCCTTATGTGTTTCTACAAGGGGAAACTTTGAGGGATGATGACTTTAGTCAGTCACCGGCTTTTCTCCGTCTGGAAGCTGAAGCTGGGAATGATAAACATTGGACACATGACGATACTTTCTCCACAGAGTCACTGGAGATTAATAGGATGGCCGTTTGTTTTCGCTGCTGGTAAGAAATACCAGATTGACCTGCCAGTTTTAGACGAGGAAGACCTTGAGGAACAGTTTGTTCGGGGATCTGGCCCTGGAGGACAAGCCACCAACAAAACCAGCAACTGCGTCGTGCTTAAACACATCCCCACTGGTATCGTCGTGAAGGTGAGCTCGTTTATGATCTTAAAGGGACAGTTCACCTAAAAATAAATAATAATAATTAATCATGTAATTTCAAACATGTAAGACTTTCATTCATCTTCAGAATACAAATGATTATCCCTTTAAAGAAATCTGCGAGATTTCTGTCCTTCCATTGATTGACAGCTACGCAACCTGCCTTTGACGCTTCAAAAAGTTAATAAAGAGATCATAAAACTAATCCATATGGATTGAGTGGTTTAGTCTAAATTTTCTGAAGAGACTCGATCGCTTTATATGATGAACAGATTTAATTTGGGCTTTTATTCACAAATAAACATTCCTACTGGTATCGTCGTGAAGGTAAGTTCGTTAATGATCTTAAAGAGACAGTTCACCTTAAAAAAAGTCATTAATCATGTCATTTCAAACGTAAGACTTTCATTCATCTTCAGAATACAAATGAAGATCTTTTTGATGAAATCTGAGAGATTTCTGTCCTTCCATTGACAGCTACGCAACTACCATTTTGACGCTTCAAAAAGTTCTTAAAGAGATCGTAAAAATGAATTGAGTGGTTTAGTCTAAATTTTCTGAAGAGACTCGGTTGATTCATATGATGAACAGATTTAATTTGGGCTTTTATTCACATATAAACATTCATCAACTCGCACAATGGGTGATCCTGATTCCTGACAAATGGCCTATCAATATAAACATTGATACAATCAATGAAGAGAAGAAATAAATAACTTTAGCCCTAGTTATTCAAAAGATATATCAATAAAAGTGTATATCTATTTGTAATTCTAAATCTTGACTATCCCAAATCCCACAGTGAAGCCTATATGTGTCATTGTGTGGCCTATTCTGACCAAACTATTATTATAATAAAAGGATCTCGTATTCTCTTGCAGTGCCACCAGACCAGATCTGTGGATTTGAACAGAAAACGAGCACGAGAGATTTTACGTGAGAAACTGGACGTCGCATACAAGGGTGAGGAAAGTGAACTGCTGAAAATAAAAAAGGAATCCATGCAAAGGAAACAGGACAAACGGAAGAGAGTAAATGAAAACATGGAGAAAAAAAGACGATTTAAGGAGATGCTCTGCTCAGACCAAGAAGATGAGAAATGCTGAGATTCATACAAGAAGATGAGAAATGCTGAGGTGCACATGATTTCATCCCTTTTTTTCTTATGAATTAAACACAATGGACAGAACCACTTCAACAGTTTAATCTTTAAATTAAGAAACAGGGGCTTTAATATTTTGTGTACAGTGGAAACTTTAAAGCTTGTGTGTGTATTTTTGTCCCTGTTTTATTGAACTGAAATCTAAGGGTTTTGTTGTTGAGTATGCAACGTTTGAAAGATTAAACTGGTTAATAAACAAGAATCAAACAGCACCTAAAGGCTGATTTATACATCCAACATTATCCTCACCGTAGGGGTGAGGAATTAGTGTATTTGATGCCCTTTTTTAAACTCAGAATGACAATTTGGAAAATAAAGAACAACATATATTATACAGTTATTTATTTTATTAGGAAAATACCATATACATAAAAAGAAATGGGCTCAAAGCAAACTTTTTTGAAAAAGCTATTTTTTTCACAAAAACATGTTCTTTGAAAGGACTGGAAATTAATAATACTCGCATTATGACTTTAACATTAGCTGCCAGGGGGGAAAAAAAGATTCTTTTCTGGCAGCTAATGTTAAAGTCATAATGCGAGTATACCTCTTGTTCTTCTGGCACTGAATAAAAATCAATGAATGAATAAATTACATTAAAAAGATCAAACCGGAAGTACGCAGGAAGCACTTCCGCGTTTCTTAAACCAATCACACGCCTACTCTACAAGAGTTCGACCAATGAACGCTACCGAATTGATATTTAAAAACCCCAGGCGTCCTGACGTCAAGTTATTTATCTCAGCATGCTGTGCTGTTTATAACCCTATCTGATTGTTGGTGGAAATCGAATCCAAGATGGGAAAAGGTAAAATAATAAATACGGTTAAAATTAGCATGTGACTTACAGACGTGCACCTGTTTGTTTGTGAAAAACGATGATAATTAGAAGAATCGATCTGATATTTAGTGACGCTATGACCTTGCTGTTTCGTTAAGCTACCGTTATATATTTGCGATCAATGTATGCTGCTCGAATCCTGACGTTAGTCGCAGCATTTATACGCATAATATTTTGTAAAGCTTTATTTATTTACTCATTAGGCAAAAAGTCCACCAAACGAAGACCTGGCGACGAGAAGGCTGAACAGGCTAAAGAAAACCAACACGGGAAGCCAACGGTAGGAGAGATTCGTCTGCAATTCTAAATGTATTTTACTAACGTTACTGATCGATCACCTTAAAGGTGCAATACCTAAGATCTAGATGCCGCTAGAGGGCGCTACATTCAAAACAACAACAACGGCTTTGCTTGATGACGCCGTGGAGGAACGCGGAATGATGGGAACTGTTGTTTTCAACTCCACCGTGGATAAATCAGTCAGACGGGAATCGAAAATTAGTTGTCATGGATGAGGTAAAGTTCGATTTCTATAAACGTTGCGTTTAATGACATGCTTGTATTTCATTAAACTGAAATAACCGTGCAAGAAAAGTCAGGTTTAAAAGTAAATTAGTTATCACAGATGTTACTGTACGAGTCACTGGACGAAGCTATGGTGGAGAGGGTTTGAAGGGGCAGGTCTCTCGCAAGGAGTTGACGTGGTTGGCCCTCCTTGGTAACTTTATAAAAATAAAAAATCAATTTAATGTCAGTTATCCCAACCTGCAAGAATTCATTTCCGGGAGGTATATTTCGATAACAAGATTGTGGGGGTGGGAGGGAAGGCTAACTTTCGCGTTCGCGAGGCACAAACGCAAAGTCTCTCCCTCTGTACAGTGCACGCGCAGCGCGCTGTATGTTATGCGCGCAGTATGTCTCGCTCTAACATTATATCCCGGGAGATTTGAACTAATTTGCGGGCATCAGGGAAACGCTATCAATATGCGGGAGATCCGGGAGACTTGGGATGTCTGCAATGTACATTTGACACATCTTTTCATGTCGTGTAAGTATTCAACCACAGCTACAGTTTCACAAAATTAACGTTAAGGGGGTCGCACACCGGACGAGAAGCTGCAGCGCCGCGTTGCACCACATAATTATTCGAACACATTATTATCTATAAGTGTACACATACCGGCGGCGCCATTCGGCGTCTGTCCGCGGCACCCAGCAACGTTTCAGGACCGTGTTCAAAACCCTGCTGCGCCACAGAGCGCCATTTACATAGTTTTATATAAAATTGTAATTATTTTTGCCTCAAACCGTTGCTAATGGATCCTGACTTTGCCCTATGCTGCAATATCTATGCATTTAGTTTTGCAGTCATTTACAGAAATCAGCTGCTTGAATGACAATTACTGATTATTATTAGATTTTTCACGTGAGATTCTCAATTCATTCTGTGATCGGATGATCTGAGGTAAAGTTTTCAGAATGCAGACTCAGCAACGATTGTATTTAATTGTACAGTACAATCATAACATAGAACAGACATTATCTTCATTTTCTGTCATTAAACATAACAATATTGCTGGCCATACACTGATGAGAAAGTGCACGTCCGGTGTTCGATAACGTTACTGGAGTTGTCCTAAACGTGACGCGGCGCTTCTCGTCCGGTGTGCGACCCCCTTTACAGCCAACAGTTCACATTCCGAGAATAAATGAAAAGAATATATGTGCTCCATTCCATAACAAATGCGCGAAACAAGCTGCCGTTTGATAGGCGCTAACGCACAACTACAACTACCGCATTTGTCCAGGACTACACGTAGTAAGAGCGGAAACCGAGGTAAGCGGATATGACGCGATTGACTCGCGACTCCCAGCTCACCCCTGCTGACACGTGCCGTTTCCTTGGTTAAAATCTCAATTTTCTCGCGATTTAAACATTGTTTGAAACATTTGGAATATTGTGAGTTATCATCTTTACTAAATATATAACACTGGCCTTGTGATTTTGGGATATTTTAATGCAAAAATCTTAGGTATTGCACCTTTAAAGAGAAAACACCCCAAAAACGAAAATCGTCATTTACTCACCCTTATGTTCATCAGACAGTTGACGGCATTGATTTCTATTCAATTTTTGTTTTTTTATTCCTAATTGGAAGTTAATGGTTTAGCTATCAACTGTTGGATCTCCAACCTTCTTTAAAATGTTGTCTTTTTTTCTAAAAAAAAAAAAAAAAAGTAAGGAAAAGAAACTCAAACAGGTTTGGAACAACATGATGAGGGGGAGTGATGATTTCTGCTTCTCTTTTTTTTGTTATTGTTGTTTGCTTGTTGAACTATCCCTTTAAAGGAGTAGTTCACTTTTTAAAAAAAAACTTACTCGCCCACATGTCATCCAAGATATCCCTGTCTTCTTTCTTCAGTCGAGGTTTTTGATGAAAACATTCCAGGATTTTCTTCATATAATGGACTTCAATGGGGTCCAAACGTTTCAAGGTCCAAAAGACACTTTCAGTGCAAACTGTTCAAAGGGCTTTAAATGATTCTAGACGATGAATAAGGGTCTTATCTAGCGAAACGATCGCTCATTTAAAAAATAAATAATACAAGTTTAAGTTTTATAAGCTCAAATGCTCGCCTTGCTCTGTTTTGTGATGAGCGTTCGTGACTCTCCTGTTCAAAATTGTTTATCAAAATGAACAAATCTTTTTTACGAGTCATTTGGTTCATTCAACAAACGAAATGAACGAATTGACTCGGGAAAAGATTCTTTCATTTTGATGAACGAGAACGAACCGGAGAGTCACAAATGCTCATCACAGAACAGAGCAAGGCGACTATTTTAGCTTATAATACTTAAACTTTGTTATTTTATTTTTTAAATGAGCGATCGTTTCGCTTGATAAGACCCTTATTCATCGTCTGGAATCGTTTAAAGCCCTTTAAAGCTGCACTGAAACTCTCATTTGGACCTTGAACCGTTTGGTTCCCATTGAAGTCCATTATATGGAGAAAATCCTGGAATGTTTTCATCAAAAACCTTAATTTCTTTTTGACTGAAGAAAGAAAGACATGGACATCTTGGATGACATGGGGGTGAGTAAATTATCAGCAAAAGTTTTTTTTTTAAAGTGAACTACTCCTTTAAAGAAGTTAATAATGCATATTGCTTTAAAAAATACCTATTTGTGTCTCAGACATGCCAAGTTCAGCTAACAATAAATGGTTGTCTGAGTCAAAACAAGCCGCACCGGAATCACCCACTCATCCCAATATTAGAAGACAATTCTGCAGTGGACACGAACAAACAAAGTGAAGGTATTTGTTTATATCATATTGAAGATGCACATTTATCATAGTCAAAGTTGTTTTACTTACTACTTTTTTGTTTCTTTGGCTAGTCAAAGATGTTGATGAGCTCAATGCACCGAAACAAGAAAACACTGGCAAGATCCTTAAATGTGCTCATAATGATCAGATTGATGCGCCTCAGAAAGATTCTGGGACGAGTAAGCAAACTAAATCCGGGCACAGAATGAATGGTGAAAAGTCAACAGACAGGAAGTAAGTCTAATTTGTTTGTGTGTCGAGGTTGCTGTTTTATTAAAGTTTATTTATAATGTGTATTTGCCTTATTTTCTTCAGATTGAAAGGCAAAGAGTCTGAACTCAATCGAAAGGTCACAGATTATTACCCTATAAGGCGAAGTTGCAGGAAAAGCAAAGCTGAGTTAAAGGTTGGAAGTAGGGATGCACCGATCCACATTTTTTCACTTCCGATCCGATCCCGATACCTGACTTTGGATATCGGCCGATACCGATACTTTTCCGATACCAGAGCTGTGTTTGCTTTAACATTATTTATCATTATTGTTGATTTTATATGATGCTGAAATAAACACCTCTCTACAAGCAAGGATGATACGTAAGTATGTAGCCTATGTCAATATATATATATATATATATATATATAATAGATATATTAAACAATAGATAGACAATTAAACAAAGATACGCATTATACAGGCCTACACAGTGCTTTAATTTCAGGAAGGTCTACTAACATTATTCAGGTATATCGTCTAAAAAGAATTATAATAAAGTAATCAAAAGTAAAATAGCACTGCAAAGTTTATCATAGATAGATTTATGCTTATTAAAGCTGAAGTTATTCATTCAAGAGCTGTGAGTGATTTTCTCTTTGCCTTTGGTTGTTTTATTCTCAGTAATGTCGCAATCGTCACATTTATACTGCTGCCCCTTTAAGAACTAGTGCGGATTTCATAGTCTACTGATGCACCATATTTTCTCCCAACTATTTCCATAAACCGTTTATGTCTAAAATGAACGTAGTTAAGTGATAATCTCCAAGCCGGTCATTTTGACATTTTTGTGCAGGCTACATTTGATCGTTTAGACGCGCATATGAAGCCCAAAGTATAATTTGCTTGTCTGTTTCGGAGCGCGCGCCGCCCTCTTGCGCAAATTTTGTGCTTTTAATAGCTCTTTTTATTAATAAAAGCGTCCCGCAATTTAGCAACAGCAGAGACGGCATTTTACAACAATTACCGATCGTGCTGATTCTGTCTTAAAGTTTGAGTTTTACGGAGAAATGACAGAGCACCGCCGCGATGGGAAGGAAGTTGGCTACACAGAATGCGGCTATTGTTTAATGTTTTTTTTTACCTCAATATATTCTTTAATCTTTGGAAATCAGACTAATATCACAGATCTAAAGTGTAACCAGGCTATGTTTTCTCTGTCGTCACTCATTAAGCAGGGCTGTCGTGTTGTGCGTGCTGTGGCACCGCGTGAGAGATCTCTCTCTCTTCTGGACTGCGAATTGCAAACATGCATCACAGACAAATAACGTTAGTTTAATTTATACGGCTTTGCAAACATTGCATTTTGCTGTCTTGCTCTGCTGCGGTGTTTCCAGTGTGAAGTATTTCCACCATAGGATTTCCACACAGCGAACATATTGGTAGCTCAATGCTATCCTGCTAGCTGGCTGCAAACTGCGGAATGGATTTCTTGAGCGGGGGTCTGTGTGTCTCATTGAGCCCTATTTTTTTACAGTCTATGATTGAGCTGCACCTCCGTTCAGGATATCCATTCCACAGTTTGCAGCCAGCTAGCAGACTAGCAGCCCCGGGGAATCCCTTTTGGAGTCATTTCAGCAGCCAACGTTAAAGCGCAGACATGGATCATAAATATCGGATTTCTCCGCAGGTTGGATCGGAAAAATCCGATACGTGAATTACGCTGGTATCGGTCCCGATACCGATACTGGATCGGATCGGCCCCATCCCTAGTTGGAAGTTTTAAAATGTAGTAATACAATTTTTTATTTTTATTTTTTATAGCTCTTATTGTGAACGATTCACCCATTTATTATATATATATATATATATATATATATATATATTTCTGACCTGGTATTTTTCAATCAGAATTTCATAACTTATTTTTTTTCATATCTAGCGCTAAATATGGCCATGTTGTTTTAAAACAGTGTGAAAAGCAGCAGCACATTGATGATCTCATCAGAAATGATGTGGAAGAGGGGCTCAAGGTAAGACTTTAACAATGTTGTAACGTGAAACCTGTCATTCCTTGGTTTAAGCATCTGCTATGTTTAATTAGGTGAAATGTATTGAAGGAAAAGGAAGGGGGATCTTTGCAGACCGAGCGTTTAAGAAAGGCGAGTTTGTAGTGGAGTACCATGGGGATTTGTTGGAGATCGCTGATGCCAAAGCAAGAGAATCTCAATACGCTCAGGATCCCTCTACGGGCTGCTACATGTACTATTTCCGCTACCACGATAAAACCTACTGGTGAGTATTTGGACATTTTATTTATGGCCCGGTTTACAGGTATAGAGAGCCTAAGTCCCGCCCCTCCGCTTCCGGCTCATGGGACCTTATTTCGGAAATAATATGTATGGTAGTCAATGGCGAGAGACAACTTGTATTTTTAATCTGTCTGAACTGTGCCCTGAATTACGCATATGATGTTTGTCACTTTAAAAGATAATTCTGAAAGTCGCAGTTTGTCATAAAACAGAAGAGTAACATTTAGTTTTATGTGAAAATCGCCCAATGAACTACATCTCCCGGGAAGCGACACAGCGAGCAAGATCCAAGATCCTGTGTGCAGTCTGGTACAACACACTCAGGCATGACGGTGTAACGTTACGATTATAACGTAAGACTATAGAAACTATAACAGACGTTAGCTTCGGTACAGTTAGCCTCGGCAAGGTAAAGTTAGCTAGTAGCCTCGGCAAGGTAAAGTTAGCTAGTAGCCTCGGCAAGGTAAAGTTAGCTAGTAGCCTCGGTAAGGTAAAGTTAGCTAGTGTAGCCTCGGTAAGGCAAAGTTAGCTAGCCTCTGTAAGGCAAAGTTAGCTAGCCTCGGTAAGGTAAAGTTAGCTTGTAGCCTCAGTAAGGTAAAGTTAGCTAGTAGCCTCGGTAAGGTAAAGTTAGCTAGTAGCCTCGGCAAGGTAAAGTTAGCTAGTAGCCTCGGCAAGGTAAAGTTAGCTAGTAGCCTCGTTAAGGTAAAGTTAGCTAGTGTAGCCTCGGTAAGGCAAAGTTAGCTAGCCTCTGTAAGGCAAAGTTAGCTAGCCTCGGTAAGGTAAAGTTAGCTTGTAGCCTCAGTAAGGTAAAGTTAGCTAGTAGCCTCGGTAAGGTAAAGTTAGCTAGTAGCCTCGGCAAGGTAAAGTTAGCTAGTAGCCTCGGTAAGGTAAAGTTAGCTGCTAGCCTCGGTAAGGTAAAGTTAGCTAGTGTAGCCTCGGTAAGGCAAAGTTAGCTAGCCTCGGTAAGGTAAAGTTAGCTTGTAGCCTCGGTAAGGTAAAGTTAGCTGTTAGCCTCGGTAAGGTAAAGTTAGCTTGTAGCCTCAGTAAGATAAAGTTAGCTTGTAGCCTCGGTAAGGTAAAGTTAGCTAGTAGCCTCGGTAAGGTAAAGTTAGCTAGTGTAGCCTCTGTAAGGCAAAGTTAGCTAGTAGCCTCTGTAAGGCAAAGTTAGCTAGCCTCGGTAAGGTAAAGTTATCTGAAATGAAAGCTGTGTCTGTGTCATGTAAATTGTGCAAGTTTTTGTCCATTAGACCATAGACGATCCCCTCGAGGAAATCTGAACTAAAGAGACTGATTAAAACACCAGGGTTGTGTTTTTTTTGGCTTTTACTTGGAATATAGAGAAATTTGCATTACAGTCAAAGTATATAATTGCTTGTGCATTTTTCCAGTGTTGACGCTACCAAAGAAACCCACCGTCTGGGCCGACTGATCAACCACAGTAAAAACGGCAACCTTCAGACCAAACTGCATGCTATAAACGGCACGCCTCACCTCATCTTCCTGGCGTCCAGAGACCTGGAGGAGGACGAGGAGCTGCTGTATGACTACGGGGACCGCAGTAAAGAAGCCCTCGCCGCTCACCCATGGCTCAAGCACTAATGCACTCTTGCTTGAGGAGTTCTGCTGATCGTTTCTAGTGGAGTATTGTGGACTATGATAGATGGTACCGTAAAATGAACTTTTAAATGAATACACCTTGGGTTAAGGTTGAATGATGGGAACCGTTTTAGCTCATTGTCTAACTATTTAATGGCTTGGGAAAGATCACTCAAATTAAATTTACTCACACTTATGATGTTCTTGGTTTTCTTCAGAGGAAAACATGAGATATTTTGAAGACTTTCAAATTTTTAAGCTTTAAAAAGCAATGATTGGATCATAGAATATCATAATTTGTGTTGTGAGGGATCGATGTAAATGTGTGGAGTGACACGTGGGTAAAGGACGAAAGCTTCTTGTTTTGGGGGAACTATTCATTTTAATGTTTAAGAATATCAGTCTTTGACTTTAAGGATAAGACGATATTCAAATGGGTGTAGTTACTGTACATTTTGTATAGGATAACATGTTTAATTGTGACAAAATTATACCACTTTTTTTAATTGTGAGCGAGTCCTTTGTCTTTAAACCTTAGTTGAGTTTTATAAGGATTTGCAGCAGTACAGAAGCATGCATACGTTTATTTAAAATTAAACATGTTAAATGTTCAGCTGCAAATGTTCAATGATTGTTTTAGGCAGTGCAATTTAATCATGAAACTATTTTATTGTTGAAATAAAGCCGATTACAATCCAAATAAAAACTTATTAATAAAACCCATTGTTAGGCGCCAGCGTAACGCTACAAAACTGAGCTTTGTAAACACTTCTATAAGAAATTAATTTGACTGGTTATTCAATTTTATGACCAAAGATTTTTATTGCATTTCAAACATGTAAAAAAAAAATTGATATGAAACATCCAATGGGCAAAGAGCAAGCAACTGAAATCAAGATCATCACATGCCAAACAAGTACTTTCTGGACCCTATAACAACAAAAGCTGGATATTAAATGTGTATCTGTTTAACTGATACATAATACTCGATTTTCATGTTGTCATTCGTCTTCCAGTTCAACATGTTGAACATATCAGATCAAACAAGAAAAATCATTTTACATTATTTGATTTCTTATGTAAGAGAGCTAGATATACTCTTTTTTTGTTTGTTTACATTTAATAAAGAATTTCAATCTTAGGAATATTATATTAAGCAACTCCATGTAATGTTAATCCATGTACAAACAACAGGGTCCAAATATTAAGAATAGCATTTTTTATATATAATTCTAGAACTAGTACAGGCCAATAAAAACAAGTTAAAAATATATATTTACATTCATATGGCCCACAATTAATGACTTCATATACCATCGAGTTTTATTAAATATTGTTACCTGGTACAAAAAAAAATAGTTTAGTTGAAGTACCTCTTAAATTTAACTCTGCAATCCCTAGTTTATTGATATTAGGAATGGAAAGTGATATGCAAAGTCATATGGATATTTTCTGTCCAAAAGTGTGTTAACAGAGGTGTTTTCTATATATTGTCACCAAAATCAGTTCCAAACTGTGTCGTTGTGCTAATTATATAACCGGACTGAATTAAAACTGATTAAAACTAAAATAGAAAATGGATGTTAGTTACATTTGTGTTTTTGACATCTACTCATTCATGTTTGGCTTCACATTCAATTATGAAGTAAGTGAGAACAGTTACAAACACCAAGTTAAAACAAACTCATTTAAAAAATAGTTAGGCAAAGGATTTCCAGCCAGAAATGGGTCAGTATTGTTAAAAAAGTCACTCGCTCTGCTGGAAAGGGCTTCGCTTGTTTCGGGTGCGTTTGGTTTGTTGTATTAAATCCTGGTTAGGTTTTGCAGATGACTACTTGCCTCGAAATGAGAACCTGAAAAAGAGGAATGGTTCGAAACATTAAGGCAAAAATGCATTGTATTTCAGAGCAAGACATTTGTAGAAAATAAGCTCAATCTCTGCTGATAAACATTTTTAACATTTAAGCGCAAACTTTCACTGATTCTGCAAGAAGGAAATGTGATGCAATAAACATTTCGAAATTTGCACCACCAAATAAGTTTAATTATGATAAAATTTGGTGAATTTTTAAAAATATTTTTCCATTTATTAACACATCAAATGCCCAAGATGCACAAAGACTGAATTCATACTTACTCTATTCATTGACTACGTGACTGACTTACAGAGCTAAATATTGTTGTAATTTGGACATAATTTGTTCCAGTTTTTCTCTCCATCTTAAAGGGATAGTTTACTTTGAAATTAATGTTTGATGTGTTTTATCTTTCCTCAAGGGCATCCAAGATGTAGGTGTCTTTGTTTCCGCAGTATTTTCAATTTTGATGTTTTTAGGTCAAACCGTTCTGTCATATAATGGAGGTCTATGGTCACCACCTCAAAGAGCATGCACAGAGAAGTCCAAATTAAACATGTTTTAATGACTCGTAAATGTAAGTACACATTGATGGCCTAAGACACGAAACAAGCGGTTTGTGTGAGAAAACAAACAGTGGTTATATCATTTTTACCTCTTGTAATCACAGCCACGTCCAAGTGATATGAGGCCGCGGGCGCTTCGGTCTGCGCAAGCAACGTTGATTCAAAATTCAACGTACTTCCTGTATATCTAAATATATTTAGATCTTCACAGTGAAAGGTAACACTTCTGAAATCTCTGTGTAAACAATGAGTGACGTACACGCGCGAGAGATCACTTCCGGCGCCCTCAGATCACTTGGATGTGGCTGTGGTTACAAGAGGTAAAAACGATATAAATACTGTTCGTTTTCTCACACAAACCGCTCGTTTCGTGTCTTAGGCCATCAATGTGTACTTACATTTACAAGTCATTAAATCATGTTTAATCTGGACTTCTCTGTGCATGCTCTTTGAGGTGGTGACCATAGACCTCCATTATATGAGTGACAGACAAGAACGGTTTGACCTAAAAATATCAAAATTGAAAATACTGCGGAAACAAAGACACCTACATCTTGGATGCCCTTGAGGTAAACTAAAACATACCAAAAATTAATTTCAAAGTGAACCATCCCTTTAAAGGTGCTTTGTCACAGTTGTCTTTGGTTAGCTCACTTGACACATTTCTTGTAAAGCTATACAGGCCAAATACAGTATCTATGCAAAGCCGCTTTGAAACGCTCTGCATCATAATGATTCAAATGTACATGATAGCTGGGCAAACTCCAGTGGGCAAGTCTCCAAACCTCTCACAACTGGTAAAGCCACTCACATGAGGCTTCAATAAATGAGACTTTACTGATTCGCACACACACACACACACCCTGCAATACTTGCATTTTTATTTTACTCCATTTGTAAGAAGAAAAATCAACATATTAGAATGATTTCTGAGGAATCATGCGACACTGAAGATTAAAACTATTTTTGGTAACACTTTATTTTGATAGTTGAAACATTCTACTAACTATAAGTGCATTTGCAACAACACTCTCATTGGAGTATTAGTAAACCGTTTAATATCTGCTAACACTTTATTTTGATGCCCCCCAAAACACTGACTATAAAGCCGGGTGCACACTGTGTGATTTTGGCCGTCAAATTTGGCAAATCCTAAAACAATCCTCTGAGCCTAGGCTAAAATATGAAGTATTTGATCATTAGTTTGACTTCACGACAGCCGATTAATGACCGTTTCGATCAAATTTTACAGAAGATTCGACTCATAGTCCTGCAGTGTGATTTCTCCTACGACGTCCGTCAAAGTGTCTTCGTTTTTCAAGACAGGCCATGACCAAAATTAACGTTAGAGATTTCTTTGTAGCTATCAGTTCAATCCCACGTGTAACACAGTTCACAGTTCTTTTCTTCAGTCGAAAAGAAATTAATGTTTTTGATGAAAACAATCAAGGATTTTTCTCCACATAATGGACTTCAATGGGGTCCAAACGGTTCAAGGTCCAAATGAGAGTTTCAGTGCAGCTTTAAACAACACCAGACGATGAATAAGGGTCTTATCAAGCGAAACGATCGCTCATTTAAAAAATAAATAACAAAGGTTAAGTTTTATAAGCACAAATGCTCGCCTTGCTCTGTTCTGTGATGCGCGTTCGTGACTCTCCTGTTCAAACTAGTTCATCAAAATGAACAAATCTTTTTGAGTCATTGCGTTCATTCATGAAAAAAAAGATTCATTCATTTTGATGAACGAGTTCATTGGTAACCATTTGGACCCCATTGAAGTCCATTATATGAAAAATCCTGGAATGTTTTCATCAAAAACCTTAATTTCTTTTCGACTGAAGAAAGAAAGACGTGGACATCTTGGATGACATGGGGGTGAGTAAATTATCAGCAAAATTTTTAAAGTGAACTACTCCTTTAATGACAACTATGTTCGTACTGACAGCGATTATGTTCATACTGACAAGCAACAATCGTAAAGGACTATAATAAATCGCACAGTTTACCCAAACCTTAACCCAACAGTCAACTAATACGTTAATGTTATCTCAAACCCTATTTTTAATAGCTACTTTTGGTTGAATAAGCTTGATAAGTATAATAATTTGAATGTGAAAATGAGATAGACCTGGAAATGCACAGAGCTCAAGATATGTGGCATTGTGCAGAAACGGGCAAACACTCACAATTTCTGAATCGTGCTCTTCTCTTTGTTCTCCTCTATAATACTGGAGGGTTCTGGTTCTGACTGAGGAAGCGTGTCCAGTTTTATTTCCACCATGCTTTGCTCTGACCCGAGGACCCCACTGAAAGCACATCAGATGCGACATTAGACCTCATGTAAATCCAAATCTATATGCATGTATTTTGAAGAACAGTGGAGCTTCCTGACTTTCATTTTCAAATCTAAAACAGCTATAAATCTCTTTCTTTTTGCTCTGCAATTCTGTAAATGTGCATCAATCGACTTGTTTACCTCTTGTAGAGCTGTAGTTCCTCTTGGGCCACCATAAGCTGGGCTTTGAGTTTGTTTCTCTCCTGCAGAACCTCCTTTAACTCCTGCATGGTGAATCTTGGTCTGTTTGGGTCTTTTAAGTCGACAACTAGTTTGTTTGGCCCAATACTTTCCTATAAAATAATAAAAAATAAATACAAAAATTATATATATATATATATATAAGAGTTCAGATGCAAAAGCCTCTAAATGATTTGATGATTTTTATCAAACTTGTATATTTAAGTTCAGTAATTTCACTAAATTGCAATGATAATTACCTATTAAATTTAAGTGAAATTACTGAACTTAAATATATAAGTTTGATAAAAATCATCATTAAAGAAGAAAATTTCAAATGTCATTTAGAGGCTTTTGCATCTGAACTCTTCATATATATATATATATATATATATATATACGTATATACACACTGTAAAAAAATATTTTCAGGATTTGTTATCACAACATATTTTCTTTTGTCAAATCAACTTTATAATAATTTATTTAGTTGAGATAACTTATTATTTTGAGTTTTTGATTATTAAATTAATCTCCTTCATTGTAATAACTCACTTTTTCCAGTTCAATCAACTTAAAATTTTAGGGCAACCAGGTTACTTACTTTTTTAAGTTAAACCAACAATATTTTTTTTACAGTGTAGTAATCACAACATTTTTTCTTTTGTCAAATAAACTTAAATAATTTATTTAGTTCAGATAACATATCATTTTGAGTTTCTGATGATTAAATCAATCTCCTTCATTGTATTAACTCACTTTTTCCAGTTCAATGAACTTAAAATTTTAAGGCAACCAGGTTACTTACTTTTTTAAGTTAACCAACAATATTTTTTTACAGTGTGTACACACACACACACACACACACACACACACACACACACACACATATATATATATATATATATAATTATGTATAAATAAGTGTTTGCACAAACTGGAAATATGCCCTTTTAAATAACAGTCAAAATATTCAGTCTCGTTTGTGACAAGATTACAAGGTTAAAAAAAGAAATAGCCTGTATACATGAATGTTCACAGTAAGACTAGTAACGTATATAATGTATACGTATATAAGCATATGATGACAACTTTTTGAGTGAACGATCCCTTTGAGTTATATAATGAGCAGCACACTCAGGTCCTCAAGAAAGCAGCCAGAAAAATGGAAAGCAGCTGGAAGAAAACAAAACTAGGGGTATTTCGCATTGTGTGGAAGGATAGTGATACTGCATACAAAAAGGCATTAAAAACTTTGTGACTCCCTTATTTATATTTATTTGATACATTGGCTAAATTAACGAGATATAAAGCTTCAACTTAAAATGTTTCTAAGCAGCACACTAGAGATGACTTTCTAAACTTGCAAGATAGAGACTATTAAAGAGAAAATTATAACCATGCAACCATTTACTACAGTATCAGACTTTGTGTTATAGACACACTGAGGAACAAGACCATTCAATATGCTATTGGAGAGAAATAATTATCTAATTCTAAACTAGTTAAATCATCTAAATCAACAACACGCATGTTAGAGATGTTAAAAGTAATTCATCTAGGAGTCATAGCTCCTCTTCTTAAAATTAATTCATACATACCAAAAACTTTAAGATGGCTGTTATTAAACCTCTTATTAAATAAAAAAAGTAACCTAATTCTATTGAACTAGTTAAAAATTGACCGATCTTGAATCTCCATATTTGGTCAAAAATACTAGAAAAAGCACTATCCTCACAACTGTTTTCCTTTTTAGAAAGAAATCATATCTGCAAATATTTCAGTCAGGATTTAGACCATATACTGAGTTGATTTGTTTGAGTTGTTAAGTTGATTCGATTTATACAAAATAAGTATATTGTATATGTGTGTAGCCTAAACTATATATACACAGACATTCATATATGAAAATGTCTGTGTATATAATACAGTATACATACACATAGTGTAAACACAAAGTTTTATGTTAGATGGGATTAATCGATTTGACATATGTGTGTGTGTGTGTGTGTGTGTGTGTGTAAATTGTGTACAAACACCTTATGAATTTTGCTCTGAACTTTACATGAACCCACTCACTCACATTGTTAGTATTAACGTCACCACTTGAACCTTCTGCTACAACTCTTTCCATTTCTCGCTTCATATTATCCCTCTCCATCCTCAGCTCCTCCATCGACAGATTGTACTTGTTCACCATTGTCTCAAACATCTCCAGCACACGGACGATTTTGAACTGTAAATCCGAGAATTCCCGGCCACCTGTGTTGACTTTTAATAAATCTCTGCCGATCACGTAGGAAATATCATAAACATCCTCAACAGTCATTTCCAACACGTCCTTGTCGAAAGCCTCCATGGGTGAACTGTCCTGTCGGGCTTCCATTCTGTCTCAAAACACAGTAACTTTCCCCAAGATATGGCGAGTCAAGCTGATCTCACTGTCCCGATTTATTCACAAATTAGCCGACAACTTCCTCTTCCAAACTGGCTCCTCTACTTTACTGCAACTTTGAGCGTTTGATTGACGTGTTAACCAGCCAATGGCGGAGTCGCTCCATGAACAACACGGTTAATGAAGCATGAGTGGTTGATATTCCCGCTAACAGCTTTATAACAGCTTTATAACTGTTTGTAATTTATTTCGAAAACGGTTTTTATTTAGTTAATGTCGTAAAATTGATCGGCTGTTAGAGCTTAGCAACACAAAGCGACCGACCAACATAAGCTTAGCCTACAGAATTTAATTAAAGGGATAGTTCACCCAAAAATAACAATTCTGTCATCAAGTTGTTCCAAACCTTAATGTATCTCTTCTGCTGAACACAAAAGAAGATAAGAATATTGGTAACCAAACTTGTTGATTTGTATGGAAACTTATTTTCGCCAATGAATAAAAAAATAATTGCGAGTTTTTATCTCACAATTACAATTGCGTGTTATAAAGTCAGAATTCTGAGAAAAAAAGACAGAAGTGTGACTTTATATCTCACAATTCTGACTTTTTATCTCACAATTGCGCGTTTATATGTCGAAATTCTGACATCTTTTCTCAGAATTGTGAGATATAAACTCGCAATTGCGAGTTATCAGGCCAATTCTAAGGGGAAAAAATACTAACTTTTTTTCCCCCTCATAGTTTAAATCTCACAATTCTGACTTTATATCATGCATTTCTGACTTTATAACACGCAATTGCGACATTTTATATTGCAACTTTATTTCTGACTTTATAATACGCAATTGCGACTTTATATCACGTAATTCTTAACTTTATATCTTGCAATTATGACTTAATATCAAGCAATTCTGACGTCATATCTCGCAATTGTGACTTTATATCTCACAATTGTGACTTTATATCACGCATTTCTGACTTTATATCTCGTAATTCTGAATTCTAGCAATTCTGAGAAATAAAGTCAGAATTGCGAGATGTAAACTCACAATTGTGAGAAAAAAAAGTCCGAATTGTGAAATAAAAAGTCGCAATTACCTTTTTTATTTTTCATTCTGTGGCGGAAACAAGCTTGCATATTTGGCCCCATTGACTAGTGTGGAACAAAAAAAAAAAAAATACTATGGAAGTCAATGGGGGCAATACGCATTTTGAAATCGAAAGCGAGGCTCCGGTGGGAAGAATCCCAGAAGTACAGATAGACAACATTGTCTTGGACTACCAACCTGAAGCTGCTGCCACGATTTAAACTATATTAAATGTTAATATCCAATATGGTATACAGTTTGTTCCTGCTTCTTTTTTATGTTCTGAATATATATATATATATATATATATAGTATATATATATATATATATATATATATATATATATAATATTTATAAATTTATAAAGTTCAGTGTTTATAGTCTAAACCCTGAAAGAAATGTATGTACATTTTTAGAATAACAAATTTCTACATTAAACAACAATACGCCATTCGCGACTCTCCTATGATTAAAGGCGACACTTCCAGTTTTCTTCCCACAGGAGCGATTTCAAAGTGACAGCTGCGTGAAATCAGCGTATAAACTGTTTTGTTACAGACATTCAACATATCTTGATTTGTGTTTAGCATAAGAAAGAAATTCATACAGGTTTGGAACAACTTGAGGGTGAGTAAATGATGACAGAATTTTTATTTTCGGGTGTACTATACCTTTAAGAAATGAATTTACTAAATGACATGGTTCAAGTTTCCTTGATGTGTCGTGTGTGTTAGTCCACTGTGTGGCAGTAGCTGTTCATTTTCTCTCTGGTCTCAGGTAAAGTAGTGTCAGATGGAAGGTCTCATCAGGGACTCATGGAGGAGAGGAGGATAAATACACTGATCTTCACTGAGGCGTGTCTTTGTTTTTTCCTCTGCTGGTGTCTCAGACTGCTGCCTTTTTCTATTGTGTTACAGTGTTGTGAATTCATTCATTTGTGTAGATTAGGGTCCAATTCTCACAATTAACTGCAACTTTCACCTCAATAAACTCCCAATTACTGCTTATTAATAGTTTAAGGTGGTTGTTAAATTTAGGTATTTGGTAAGATTATCCTAAACTGTTTTTTTTTGTTGTTGTTTTTTTTTCACACTGTTGTGTTGACTACATCATTCATTATTTTTGTTGGATAAGCTGGATGTTGAAAAAAGATAATCTGGTAAACATGGTTTAAAAAAGTTGAGTATACCCTTTTCTTGATGTTGTTTCTTGAATTGTTTGGCTCTCTCAGCTTAAAGGTAGGGTAGCCAATTCTTGCATAAACACTTTGTGTTATTCTGATTGAAAATGTCTTCACATCCTGATAGCAATCGATGATAGAATTGATCTAAATAAAAATATTGCATATTAATTTTCCAAGCAAAATGTATATTTCAGTCAGAATTATTGCAGCGGCGCTCGTTCAATGCGAAATTTAGCAGCAAAATGGAAATATTTGCACTAACATTTACAGATGGAGAATAGAAATGTATAAATTTGCACAAACACAAAATATATGCTGTTTGATGGTGGATCGATTTGATCCATGATAAACCTCTGCTTAAGAAGAGCCTGCACATGCAATTATCTAGATCAACCTGGATCAAATTAATGGGATTGTGTGAACTTCAGTTACCTTTGAAACCGCTTTAGCCCCAGGTTCATTCAAGTCAGCTGTTGGAATTTAATCCCTACTTTTTATAGCGTCTTTTATGAAACAGGCCTCAGCTCTGTAAGTTATTACGTTCATTATTATCTGTATGTCATGTCCTTTGAGACGTGAGGTAATTTAAAGCCGTCTCGTGGGACACTGACTTTGCAGACTCTGCTGTGTGCGTTTTTTGAAAGAGGCGTGGCTTTATAGACGTTCTGAAGGGAGGGTGGGATCATGTGCTTTCAAAACTAGCTTGCTATTGCTAAAATCACCAACCCTACCTTTAAGTTTAAAAGTCATGCATACATCTAATTTATTCTTTCTAGCTTGGTGTTACTGTCCAATGCTCAAATCATGACCTATCTCTTTATTAATTTTCCATTTAGGCAAACTGCCTTTTCAGTAAAAAGGGGCGAAATTATTGAATTCCCTACCAGACCACACCTTCAAAACAAATACTAAAATGTGGCTTATTCAGGAACAATATTGCCCTCATATTTACTTTTTGCATTGTGCTCTCTCTGTATATATTTATAATAATGTTAGTCTGTTTTTTTTATTTTTAACTAAAAGCCCCACTAGGGACAAGTGTTGTGAATTAGCTTTAGCTAAAATACTACAATAAATCAGATAACTGTTTACGTTTATTTGTTTTTTGTATCTGTCCCTATTCAAATAAACTTAAATAATTCAGATTCATATACAGAGGAGACATTATTTCTATCCTTATTTCATTCATTATTTTTGAAACCTGTCTTAATAAAACATGTTCAGTAGCATAACGTCTGAGAAGCTTATCTGAATTTGTGTCTTGTAATATAACAATTTTCTATTCATACAGATCCATATTGAAATTAATAAAGCATCTTGGAGTAAACTTCGAGTATCATGCGTATCTGTTTCCGGGCCGAGTGTCCTAGTTTTTGGTAATCAAATATAGTCACCCGGTCCCTAGCACTACAAACTTCCCTGTTATATATATCACAGTTCAATAAATATAGCAACAAATAAAAACAAACGTAATCTACTGACATTATATTTGAACTTAAAGCCAAATGAGCTCTGTAACCCGACCGTCGCACTCAACCCGTGCAATCCCTCCTCGAGCCCACACTTAGGTGACGTCATGCCGCGCACACTGCGCATGCGCATTAATACTCCTCCTTGTTCCACAGGGAATCATCGGGCGCCTCGACATTCTCACTGTTCATGAACTGAATTCAGTTATTTTGGGGACCTCGTAATGGACTCTCAGAAAGTAAGTGGCACATAATTAAAGTGTTTGGAAACCAGTAGCTAACTGAAAAGTCTCCGCGGTCCATTTGTGATCGAATACTGAAGTGTTTATTACACTATCATCGCTCATATGCGCCGCACCGTTAATAACGTAACGTTACGACTCTGTAAACAGACACTTCTCATTCACACCGATGGATTTAAAGACAAAAAACCGTATGTCTATTCACTGTAAATGTTATCTGGGGTTGTGGCCTGTATGACATTGAAGTTAGATGGCGTTTTAGAAATAGTGTTTGACTTGTAGCTGTAAAGAAAGCTGGAAGATTGATGTTAGAATAAGGGTGAAACTGGAACACTTGTAGAAATGTTAACGTTACCTTAATGTCTTGTGTTACGTTGTATTTGACTGATCCTTTGTTGCATAATACCAATATATTCTGCGCTATATATAAATGCTGTAATGTGTTATATAAATGATATACGTTATATAATGAGGGAGTAGATTTAAAATGATATTTAACCAGCATTACTGCAGTTGCATTGCATAAGAGTAGGAAATATTGTATCTCATAGGTTTGTAATTGCATTGCACCTGTGCTCCCAAGTTTACTTAGTTAGTAGAAGTGGATAAAGAGAGGTGAAGTGACATCAGGCGGGGAGTCTAACATTTACAGATCACATTCTGCTTACTATGTTGTTCTTCCACACTTTCTTTATATCAATGATAACATCCTTGTGTGATATTAGCAGCTGAAAATTGCAACCCTGTCTTTGTCTTCTTGAGCAGTGTTAGGGAATGTTACTAAAAGTAGTGCGTTACATTATTGGGTTACTCCCTAAAAAGTAACTAATGGTGTTATTTTTTTTGGAAAGAATTACTTTTTTTCTTACCTGGGCTGGGTTTGTTTGTCTTAATTACATAAAAGTTATATTTTTGACAAATGTAAAGGCCCTTTCACTACAAAAGTGAAATGAATAAGCCTCATGTTGAAGGTAATGCAAATTCACACTAACCTTTCAGCTGTGCTGCCATTCTGGGTTGCAGAAGAATAGGAAACAGGAGAAGAAAGTTCAACAAAAAATGAAACAAATGTGATGTTTAACTAGTCATTTTTGTTTATTTGTATGGCTGAATTTGCT